GTTAGAAAGTAGGGTTGTTTCCGCTCTATTAATTATGTACTAGGTTTATGGTATTGTGTACTCTTGTATATCGTGTTCATGAAACTATAGTGGATTTCTCTCATTCATGGATGTAGGCAGGTTATGCCGAACCATGTAAATATCGTGTCTCTTTTTGTGATGTGATTTTATTCCTATGTTGTTTATCTCGAATGTTGTATGGGCCAAAAATCATTTTGGGTCTTATCAGGCCCAAACATGAAACACCTACTATGTGGTCGAAGGCCATGGCCCAACTCCGGTTGGGCCTACATTAAGACCCACACTATGGGCCAACCCACTACACCGACCAGGCTAGTTATAAAGTGAATCATCCAATCACTAAGGCCTCACCCCGAATTGGGCCTTACTGATTGGTTTACTTGTGCCTAAGCCCATCGACCCAAGATTGCTCTAAGAACCTAGAGTTCTACTTAAACCTTCTTTCATCCACTTCCTATTTTCATCTACATCCTAATTCATCTAATATCCTGAATCTTGCATGAATTAGGACTTTTACTCCTACGAATGCAAGTAAATCAAGTCTTTCCTATTTACTGGAATTCTACCATTATGGAGTTAGAGTCTTACTAGGATTCAAAGATCCTATGAACACTATATAATTAGAGGTCTTGCCTCTGATTCATAATTCAATACCACCTACTAGCTCCTAAGAACTAAACACCTTCGTCGTAGCTCTAATTTCTGATCACACTTCGGTAACCCTTCCTCCCCTTAGCCCTCACTAAATGGTCTTTTTCAACCTTGCTAACTTGAGCATCAGAGTGCTTACGACAGACACACTACACTGATGTTTTACGTGAGCTTTACGCTTGTTCTCAGGTTCAGCAGATCGTCAATGGCCTCAACCTCACAGGATCAGTCCGTCCATGACCGTAGATTTTACCGTCTACAAATGTATGTTAATACAATCAAAAAAAAAAAAAAAATGATTAAAATAGATATCAATTCTTTGAAGAAAACAATAACACTAAATTAATATGTGAAGCAATTAAAAACTTACAATTTTATATTGCTTGTAACTTGATATATCCTATTGTAAACCTTCTTCTTCCATTAAACTATCTTCTTGTTCTAATAATATTTTGAATAACTAAACAAAATTAAAGTTTACAAAATAAAAGTGGGGTGTCAAAAGCATTTATAAAGAATGTGAAATTAAAGATAAATTTAATAATTTAATATAGAGATAAATTTGTCATTATAAAATTTATCAAAAAGTGGGCTTCTATAGTCCAGTAATGGGCTGCCAATAGATCCACTCTAAATTTAGTTTTGAAGTGGACTTATTGGCACTCCACTAATGAACTGAATGAGCCATATTTCTTAAGACACCCTATTTCAAATTTTAAAATTAAAATTGTATTTCTTCTAGCACCCCATAAATTCCATAAATGTCTTTCATTCAAATTTTGTTTTTTTTCACTATTTTAGAAAAGTTAGCATTTCATTCCCTTCACTTATGTTATATACCGCACCATCATTATTCAAAAAATAAAATTTTAGATAATTAAAAGAAAGTTTACAAAAAATTGAAGCTAAAAATGTAATCTTTACAAATAATCCCAAGAGCATATATAATATAGTTAAACAATACAAAAAATATATGGATTAAAATAGTTACCAAACTTAGAATAAAAAACAATAAAACTATATGTGAAGTAATTAAAAAGTTACAATTTTACATTGCTTGTAACCTAATATATCATATTTTAGATCTTCTTCCTCCATTAACTATCTTTTTGTTCCAAAAAGGATTTGAATAGCTAAAAAACAAAAAAAAGTTAGGCTTCTTTTGTCCATTAATGGGATGCCAATAGATTCACTCTTAATTATGAGATAACTAAATCCTATGGGCTTCTATTAAAGATCGAAACTTAATAGATCCCTTTTTCCTAATTCACTTCTATGTAAACCCTATTACAAGGCTCGACACAACAAAAAAGAGAGAAAAACAACTAGAGAGAGAATACCCAATGCAAGCTACCACACACATTGAGGATGAGAATACCCAATCCAAGCTTGTTAATGGTTCATTTGTTCATTAACTCCTTTTGTGTTTTGTGGGAATATTGTAAATAGTAAAAAAAGAAAAAGAAGGTGGATTCAATTTAAAAATCCTAACCACTTAACTTGTGGCCAAATGACAAAACTATAGGTTACCCAAAGGTCTATGTTTGAGTCACACAAAGTGGTCACCTACCACATTTGTGACTTACCTATCACCTACCATATTTGTGTCTTACCTGATCTATTGGGCTTGTAAAGTGTTTAATATAACCCAAGGACTAGTTAAGGTGAGCATAAACCAGTTCAGACACCCTAGAAAAAATTAAAAATCCTCCCATAGGTAACAAATTGTCAAAGGATCAATATTTGGCTAGTAGCTATGTTGAAAAAAATTGTCCTAACCCAAAATATTAAAGCCTAGATTCCCTGACCCACATCAGTTAAAGGAAAATCAGTGGATAATCTTAAGGGGGCGTTTGGTTAGAGGTAATGGAAGATTACTAGGGTTATGCCATCTTATATTACTTGATTACCATGTTTGGTTGTCAAGTAATATAAGATTCCGGTAATCTTGCATTACCAATAGTTGTTACTGTTAGTAATATTGGAGGTAATCTGATTACCTTTATTTTCTTAAGTACTATAAGATTACATTGGTAATCTTATTTTTGTTACATTTCTATCCCTTATTAATAAAAATTTTGGACAATAATGCCCCTATTTTAAAATAAATTTACATTAATATACCATTTCAATTTTACTCTTGTTTAATTAAATTTTTGGACAATAATACCCTTATATTTAAAACAAATTACAGACCACCACTGCCACCACCACCGACAGCGGGCCAATCACCACGGACCGCTGCCGAAAAGTCGCTGGAGTCCCTAAAAAAGACTGAGATTCAATGGGAGGCTCCAAGAGGCTTCAATATGACCGTTTTCGGCCATCAAAACGGCCATATTAATGGCCAAAAACGGCCATATCAAGCCAGATTTGGCCGTTAATGGCTAGGGCCTTGGCCATTAACGGCCAGATCTAGCATGATATGGTCATTTTCGGCCATCAATATGGCCAGAAACGGTCATATCGGAGCCTCATGGTCACGGTGAACTACTCATGGTGACTTTTAGAGACTTCTGGCAGTGGTTTGTGGTGGCGGCAGGCGGTGGCAGGGGGTGGGGGTAGGGGTGATTTCATCATAAATTAAAGTTTTATATAAGCGGGAGTGTTTTAGCTAAATCTGAAATATTTGGGGTTAAAAGAAATTATTCAAAAATTAATAATAAAAATAATATTATATTAATATTTAAAAAGGAGACAATTTAATAATTTAAATAACATATCCACCAATTTATTCTCTCTAACCAAACATATTAATATAATATACCCACCAACTAACCAAACACATTTTTTTAAAGATTTCTAGTAATCCAACATTCCCAGTAATCTAAAATTTCCTAAACCAAACACCCCTTAAAAGAAATCAACATGTCAACAACAAGAAATTTGGTTGGGACAACCAAAACATGAGACCCCAATTAAAATGGGAGATAGACCTAAGCATCATCTTATTTCCTCTCCCATGACACAAACTTGATTCTTATGAAACACAATTTCCATCGTCCTTAAATGTAAAGAGAACATTCAATGCCACTATACTCGTTACACCAATTATGACAATTTTTCAAGCAACATTTTCAATGGGAATAAATTGCCAAGAATATGATCATAAACATCCTAAAAAAGTCTCCCACTTTTGAGGAGGCCAATATTGTAAGGTTTTTCAAAAGAGGCCGACTAAGGGTAAGCCTAAAATCTGCACTCACCCTCTTTTTCATCAAATTGGTTCATTTACAAACTTAAAAGTATCAAACGATGTTAACGAATCTTGTTTTTTTTTTTTTGAAGAATAACAAATCTTGTTTATTGTACCCTCTTTACATTTTTGGCATAAACACATATTAATAAGATTTCATTAATAATTATATTATAAGTCCACAGAGTTATTCCGATGTATCAATAAACCTGAAGAGCATATTATGATTACTTCAATGGTGAAAAACAATAAACATGGACATATATAGAAGGAATTGGAATAGGGTTTAGGGTTTTTGTGTCAATTTTAATACATCACTTTGTTGTATTATATTTCATTGTGTCATAAAAACATTATATTATAATAAAGATACTGAATTTTGTGGAATTTATTAAAGATATTAGGAGAAACATAGTATGAGAGTTATAAAGTCAAATTGAAGATTATTATATAAAGCAACATGAGATAGATATTTAATAGGAGAAAGTGTGACATTTAATGCCTTTGGGAAGTGCAAATGGACATAATTCCTCCAACATAGAGGACCGACCAATATGGAGTTTTTCATATATCCCCCAGATATCTTAAAGCCCCCATGAATTTGCAAAATATTGAAAAACTCCTAACTTAACTTATCATTCTCATCAGGGGTTTTAAAACATTTTAAAGATCGTGGGGGATCTTCTCTCGGGGTTGGGGGAAAACAGAAAACCCAATAAACTTGTTTCGAAGCTCCGTCCATCATACCCATTTTTGTTAATCATCGCATGCCGCAAATATCTAATAATATTCCGAATTATTTAAATAAAAAAACAAATTAAATTAAATTAAAACAACTTACCATATATAACATACATTAACATCCAAAATTTATTTACCCAAAAATATTATTCACACTCTTCTCTCCCGATTACAGGTTCTCTTCTCACTCTCTCTCTCTCTCTATTGAAAATTTTGATTCGATCTGAAATTCTAATCTCTGTTGATTTGCGATTCGCTGGCGGTTCGGATTCTAGGGTTCGTTTCATCGCGGCGTGTTTGGTGGACTGGCGATTAGGGTTTTGCGGTGTTTCAGATTGAATTGGTGGGGCGTTTCGGTGTTTGATTGCGAGGATGTTTTGGCGTATGGCGGATTGTCTACTGCGTCTCCGGTGAGTTTTCGTTTCGTTTTGTTTATGTTTTGGCGTTTCGTTGCTTGATTTGTGATCTGTTTGTGCATTTGTTGGTGCCTTTATGTTTACGTGGAAATAGAGTTCGTTGTTTGGTTACATTGGTTATGGATTGAGTTTTTGTATTTTGGATATGTATATTTATATGCGTAACTATTCTACTCGTTTTGAATTGAATGAATGATTAGTTAGGTTGTGGTGTGTTTTGGAATAAATAGGAATCGACTTTGTGATCAAGGAGTGTTTCTTTGGCAAAACTGTAATGTGATAGTGATATGGGGAACTAAGTTAAGATGTTATCTGTTTGGATTTGATAAAATAGTTTATTGTTTTACTCTTTTTCATAGGATAGCTCGTCTCTTTTAGGAGATAGTAAAGACAATTATGATTTTGAGAACATTAGAAATGTGTGGGTTAGTTGAGATGGGCAATTTGGGCTCCAGTTAATGAAGTTGCAGGGTTCTATAATGAAGATATGGATTGCTTAATTTAGATGCTAATGTGTGAATCATTCGTAGGAGAACATAGGAACTTTATAATTTTGCGCTACATGTTGCGTGGCTTGCAGAATTAGGATTGTTCTATAATGAGGATATGTAGAGATAAAATTGTAATGGGTTCTTCCAAAGAAATTTAATTTGCTACCAGGATCAGTAACTACGACTGTTCAGCATTCCAAGCAAGAAGATGAGAAATTTAAGAGATAGATTTAAGAAAGAGAAGGGAGAAACTACAGTAATGATTGAAACAATTGAGGGAAATTGACTGATGCTTGAGATTTGACCACCATTGATGCTGCTACTATTCCAGAATGAACTTCAGTAACTTTTTTTTCACGTTGATTTTAACCCATTTATTAGTTTAAAGAAAAGAAAATTGGATAAAAAGAGTCAATTTTTTCGCATAACACTTGATCCTTTTGTCAGTCTCTTGGTTCTGGAAACTATCAACCTTCAGTTTTTCAGAAGAAATCTGTGAAGAGAGAGATGTTTCAGTTCGCTTATCTTTTTGATGATGTGTTGTTATAACTAGAAAGCTAAAATTGGTCAAGTGGGATGAAGATTTGTACTTTGATGTAGATCTATCATGAAAAAAATCAATTTCAGAGCATCTCACATTCTTTGAAAATCTTTTGCTAAATGAGGTTTTAAAAGTACTGTGTTTCGTGCAACTGGTTTGGATCTTTTAGATATTTCATATAATGTATAATATGCCATCTCAGAGACTTCATCCAAACGGCTATGTATGAGGAAAGCTTTTGCTTGTCTTGTTATGAGGAAGCAAAAATTGTGGTTTTGCTTTAACCTGAGTTTTACTTCATTCATTTTTGGTCATAACACTGCTTGTCTGTGTTATATTTATAACCTTGCTTATTCAGTTTTGGAGTTTCTAAAATTATTATCCAAACTGTTTTTAGGATTTTTTTTTCATTCATTTCGCCTTTTTTTTTTTTTTTTGGGGTGTCTAAATGCAGGTAGAGAAATTTTGGATAAGGAGAATTTCACATTGGAGGAGCTTCTTGATGAGGATGATATAATTCAAGAATGCAAAGCTTTGAAGGCCGACTTATAAATTTGTAAATATTTTTAAACTTCTTCAGTATATGACATCTTTATGTATTTTGTCTTCATTTCTTTCATTGCTAATGAGTGATTGATTTTTGGAACTTCTGCCTTCCGTTTATCTTTACTTTTCCTTGTGAATTGTGTCTTTGCATTGTTATTGTCTCTCGAGATCATACTCTTCAATATATCATGATAACTTAGGGTAATTAGCAAAGATTGATTTTGGAATACAGTTTTAAAAGTGGAAGTGTTATTCAGGGGTTGATTATTTTCTCATATCTTTAGTTGAGTTTAAAGTTAAATCAGTATAGACATAAAATAACAGAGTGAAGTATAATTAGTAGTGGTTTTTCTACTTCGAGATCTGTAGAAATTAATCGTAACTATTAGGCTAACATGGTTGTGTTGTAAAAATCACAAATGAATAGCATTTTAATTTAAGTATACGTCAGGAAATATTTGTTCTGAAATCTTAAATTGGCAACATAAAATGAGCACAGAAAATTTTGAAATAGGTGAACCATATTTTAAATATTGATAGTTTGATCCAGGATTAATATTATGAGATTGCTAGAAATCCTTCTCTAAATATATGATGATTGGTGGACCTCAGTTGAAAAAAGTGAAATGTAGCCTTCCTCTCTTTAATAAGTTGCAATTGGCCTTTGTTTCCAAAGGTCAGAAAAAAATACTGTAATTATGGTGGGCTTTGTTGCCACAAATTATTTTAGTATCTGCAAGAGTTGGTTACAAAATGGTGTCTATTTGTCATGAAAGATTTACAATGAATAGTTGTGTACTTCCTGTGTGCTAGGCTGTGATCAATAGTTTCTTTCATTGATTTGCTGCTTCATTTACTGATGATGCTCTATTTTCCCTTAGTTGATTGTTTCACTCAGTGTTCTCGCGCACTAGGATGTTGCTCCTTAGCACCTTTAATGTAATTAATTTTAAAAATGAGGTATTTAAACTTACAGGATCTAAAGTGCTTAATATTTTTCCCTTTGCTTTTGCTTATTTACATGAGGGATATTCCTTTTTGGAGTCTCCTAGCATTTTTGCCCGGCTTAAAATTCTAATCCCTTGCCAATCTTCAAGGCCTTTCTCTCATCTTATGTTACTCACGAGAGTTTCTGTGTTTAGGATATATTGTTAACGCCTTGGTGCACATGGGTGCTGACTGCCCTTGGATAATGACTTCTAATATTTTTATTGACCATAATTATTTAAGTATCAAGGAAGGATTCTTATTTATTTCTTTTCTCTTTAGGGAAAAAAAAAAAAAAAAAAAAAAAAAAAAAAAAAAAAAAAAAAAACCATACAAAAAATCATGAATGCTTGTAAATTTAATCTGTTTTATGTTCTTCTCCATGCCACACTAAAATTAAGCCCTCAAATTCTCTTTACAAGCTTGCCATTGATTTTTTTGACAGTTGATAATGGTGTTTTAGTCTTATTACCTTACAGATTTCGTTTCTTAGATTCTAGCCTTTGGTTATTTGATCTTCATTCTTTTTCTTGTCTTCTAGTTTGAGAGAAAGGGCTCAGGTTGAACAACTGATTCAATATATTGTGGTTGAAGCTCCTGAGGATGCTGAAAAGAGGCGAACTTTTAAGTAGGTTTGATGGATGAACATATTAATCTTGTTGCTACATGGTATACCAGTGTGGATTCAGTTGTTGATATTGCCATTTATTTATTGATTACGCAGGTTTCCTTTTATTGCATGTGAGATTTTTACTTGTGAAGTTGATATCATCCTTAAGACATTGGTAGAGGATGAGGAGGTAAGACGCCAACTCTGCTCCTTTCTAGCTGTGCATTTTGTATCTCCCAGGACTTCAATCTCTGAACTGTCTGGTCATTGCTTATTTCAGTTGATGAATTTGTTGTTCTCCTTTTTGGAACCGGAAAACTTGCATAGCACATTACTGGCTGGGTACTTCAGCAAGGTACCTCATACTGAACTTTTAAGATATTAGTATGTCAGATGAAGGAACTATCAATATCCTCTTCATTGGAGGTTCTCGGTAAATTCTAATTATCATTTTATCTCTTCTTATGTGGCCCTATTGTCTTCTTTGTAGGTTGTGGTTTGTCTGTTGTTGCGGAAGACAATTCCTTTTATGCATTATATTAAAGTAAGTTAAGCTGTTATCTCATTCAATTTTTTTTAATATTCTTTTCCACTTGTGCAACAATATTTTAATGACTGTTGTAAGATGGAATCTGCATGGAACAGTTTATAATTTTATCATTCTTCTTGCCTTTGGAATATAACTGGAACAAGGAGTTTTATAGAGGATGTTATTGTGAACTGTATTAATGACAAATGTTAATTTATTAACTCCTGGAAGTGTTAGCCATTGTGCTCTTTAGAGTTAAGATTTTTGCTCTCTTTGTGATTATTTTCCGCCATTGTCCTTATTGAATGAATAGGCTTCTATTCAGTCGAACCCTTATCAGTATTTGTTCATGCAAGCCCCTTGTTTCTTTTACTATAAGGATGTGATGGAAGGTAATGGAGTGTTGCAGTCTATAAGTAGTCATTGTAGAGCTATTACAGCAGCCGTACAAATTATGAATTTGGGTGTTTGCAGTTTTACTAATCATGAGAATTCTGGGATTATTGTATTTCCATGCTTGTTTAGATACCTGATAATAAGTTCATATTGCATTGTTATCCGAAGGTCAAGACCCATTTGTCTTTATAGAACAAAAAATTGAAAAATTATGAAAATTGATGCGTTGATGTTGCTATCTGTTGATGGTGCTTGTGAATTGTTGACTACAATTCAGAATGTTGGTCTGATTTTTGGTAGAAATTTTAATGAATCGATTGAGCTGAAATTGTGCTTGCTCAGAAATGAGCATGCCATTACTGTTGTTTGTTTGCAAGAAAACCCATCATGTGTAAAGTCAGAATTTCCTTTACCTTTTGGGGTTGGATCATGTACATTATGGTTGTGTGGTATTGAAAATTTTTAACTCATGAATTATAAGTCAGCTTCGTTGCATACATTAATTGATGTGTAGCTGCCTTTGATTTCCATTGAGTTTGATATTTGACTTTTATTATTGGCAATCACTAAGGGTATGTTCATGTTTACAACGTTTTTTATCTTTTTGTTTATAGTCCACTAATATGCCTATTTCATTTTTCGTTAATGTAGTTTAACTGTTTCTTATCAATTTATGTAGAAAATGTTATATAGTATTTGGCTTTTTTCTGAGAGTAATACCTCATGTAGGTGATCAGTGTAATGAAACAAAATAGTCTTGGGCTTGTCCATTTTCAGTCCCAAGAAATTTGAGGTTGTTCTTCTTGATTTTTAAAAAGAAGTGATATTTTAAGATACAGTTTGAATGCTCTGTATATATCACTTACTGTGTTTCTTGACACTTATATCTAGGAGTACTGATTGGCAGTGTTGTTATTACATTTAATTTGTGATTCTGCAAGTCATACTTAATGAAATGATGGCAAATTCTCTATTCACCTTTAGATTCTTCTTACAGCACTGGGTTGAAACCATTTCTCACCACCCAATGCATCCATGAGTTGACTTTTTTCTTAATTTAGTTTAATTTAATTTTTTTTAATGTTTCTGAATGATGTATAGTAAGCTGATGTGCCATTCTTATGCTGTCATCCAGGCACATCAAGAAATTATTCCTCGGCTAGTAGACCTGATTGGTATTACATCTATCATGGAGGTTGGTTGTTCATCTTTATATGTTGCTTCTTGTATATTAATTGCTTGCTGAAAGTTCTCTATTGGTTACATTCAATTGCAACCATATTGTGTATTGTATGACTATAATTGCTACATCTTTTAAACAGGTTTTAATACGTCTTATTGGTGCTGATGAGCACATGTATACAAACTATACCGAGTCAATGCAGTGGATAGAGGAAACAAATGTGCTAGAGATGATTGTGGACAAGTTCAGCTCTTCGGTAAGCTCCTTCCATTGTCCCCTTAATTTCTATTCTTAGATTTCGATACCTTGATAAGGTGTGACTGCAACATTTTCTTGCTATTGCATTCATATTGAAGAAACTAGGGCCGTGTTTGGTTCATTATTCCTGCCCATATTCCCAATCCTATTCTCCAAATAATCTTTGGCACATTATTCTAGAAGTATTACCCATTTTTTTTAATTACTTTTAGACCCCATAAGGTTATTAATTTCATTAAATACCCCCTGAAAAAAAAGTTTAAAAACTAACAAAAACAGTCCCGTGACCCATACTTGCCAGATTCCGGCAACCACCATCGGTGGTAGTCGGAATCTACCACAACGGTGAATTACTGACCGGAGTTGGTCGGTAATTCACCGATCTGGCCTTTTCCAGCCAGATCCACAGTGGATCTGGCTGGAAAAGGCCAGATTTGGCCGTCGTTGACGGTCAATGACGGCCAAATCTTGGCCATCGTTGACCGAAAACTAGGGGTGTTAAAAAAAATGCAAAAACCTAACCGAACCACTAACCAAACCGGAAAACCGGTTAACCGAAAAAACGGTTTGGTTATGGTTCGAAAAATTAAAAAAACCAAATTTTCGATTCGGTTATTGGTTCAGGAAAAATTAGAAACGGTTAACCGCAAACCGGTTTTTCAAATATATATATATATATATATATATATAATAGCCTAAACTAAAATAAATCCCTAATTCACTCAATCTAAAATCCCAACCCAAATTTTTTTTCTTAGTTCCCAATGTATTGTCTATATTTACAATTTAATTTAGAACAAAATTTTAAAAAAAAAAAAAGTTCTATTAAAAAAAAAAAAAGGGAAAACCGGTTAACTGCTTTTTTTAAAACGGTTAACCGGTTTGGTTTCGGTTCGGGAATTTTTCCGAACCAAAAATCTGGTTCGGTTTAGAAAAGTGGTTAACCGGTTCGGTTAACCGCTTTTGAACACTCCTACCGAAAATGACGGCCAAATCTTGGCCATCGTTGATCAAAAACGACGGCCAAATCTTGGCCAACGTTGACCGAAAATGACGACCATATCTTTGGTCGTCGTTGACGGTCAAAGATGGCCGTCGTTTTGGCCTTTTCCGGCTGTTGACTGCCATAGCAGGCCGTAGATCTGTCCTTTTTCGGCCAGATCCGTGGTGGATCTGGCCGGAAAAGGCCATAACGATGCGTTACAACATAGATCCGACCGGTTTGTGTCATAACGCGATTTTTCAGCTAGATTCCGGCGATGGTGGCTGGAATTTGGCACTGCAGGTGGTAGGGGTATTTTTTTCATTTTATATGTTGGGCCGTAGGGGTGTTCAAAAGAACCGGTTGGAACCGGAACCGACGGGTACCCTGGGTTTGGTTCCGATTCCAAAAATTTGTAAATTTTTGGAATCGTTACTGTGCGGTTCCGGTTCCTATAGTTAGGAACCGAAACCAAAACCAGGAACCAGGAACCGAGACTAATATAAAATAAAATTAAAGATTATGGGAGTTAATAAAAACTTTTGTAGAAAAAGTAATGTGAATACATTTATATTTATATTTCATAACATTTACAGTAAGTTGGTTTTACTTTTGAGAATCTACCTTTACAAAGTAATGGAGTTTGTAATTTTGAATTTATAATTTGTAATTTTATTTTTGTTAACAAATGCCAGATGGGGGGGGTATTTGTAAGTTTTTAAGGGTTTTTTTGCTATTTAAAAAACTTTTGGGGCGTCATGTAATTTTACAGGGTACCCAGAACCGGAACCGGAACCGGAACTGCTGTTACAGGTTCTGGTTATGGGTACCTAGGAACCAGAACCGTCGGTTCCGGTTCTGGTTCCAAATTTCAAGGATCCGTCGGTTTCGGTTCCTTCAAAAAGTGTAGGGTACCCAGAACCGAACACCCTTATTCAGTTGGGGTGTTTAATTAAATTAGTAAACCTAGGAGCTTTTTTATAAATTTTTAAATTTTATCTCGTAATACTCCTCTATTCAACTATCAAATGTTATTCCTAACATCCTATCCAAAATAATGAACCAAACGCACCCTAGGCTGTCTTAATGTTGAACACGTCTCTGTTTTCCCCCATTGGAGGGACTTTACATATATTTATGCCTATGAAGGTAATCCTTGTTGTTGTTGTTATAAAACATATGGTTTGATATGCATAGACGTGGTGATGAATTTTGGATAGTTTTAACAATAGGCATATCTACAAGTTAACGTTAAAGATCAGGATTTTGCTCCCAGAATTTTGTATGTTAAGAGCATATAATTGGGTTATTTAATCATTTTTTATATACGCTATATATGCAAAGAAAATTTGGAAGCTAAACTTAATCAAGAGTGTAAAACTATCTTGTGATACAGAGAAATTCTGAAAGCTAGTTAAGTGAAATCAATTTGAGTCAGTTATTAATGGAATAATAATGTTCGCATAATGTTATTTACTGGAAAAATAAAGGAATTCATTTCCAAGTTTTGTTCGACTAGATTATCTTTAGATTATCATTTGATATTCATTGTTGGAATTATGAAGCTTCATGGTGATGGAAATGTCAGGTAGCTTAATCTAATTTAGGCAATACCATCTTACTGTTCTTTGGCTTTGTGAAAGAGACATGTTGCTCTAGAAGGCAGAAGAGCTGCTGCTATGTTATGGAAATTTTGCAGTTACGGCAACTTTTTGAGCTATATTGTTAGAAAAAAACTGGACAGTTTTTGAAGATACAACCGGGGAAGAGATTTTGTCTATTTCAGATAAAAGTAAAAATTTGGGCTTCTCTTTGGGCATCTATTACTTCAGAGTTTCAAGATGTTTCTTTTTTCTTTATTCAACATTTTGGGAAGCTTCAATTACCTAGCTGGGGAAGATTTTTGTGCAAATTTGATTAGAGATTTTTTATTTTTAGGGTTGATGATTTTGGAATAGGAGATGTGTTTTTCATTTTGTATAGTTTCTTGAACGTTAAGAGTTTCAGAGACAGCTTTCCCTTTTTTGTGTGGACAACATATCTATTTTCGTATACTTATTTAATAGAGTATGTTTGTTTCCTAGCAAAATAAAAAATCACAGGTAGTTTATGGGTATTCAGATGATCGACTATATTGGGAGACCTCATTAACATGGTCATTTGCCAATTTATTTACCTTGTGCCTTGGTGCCATTTTCTTCAAATGCTGCTGCATTTTCTAAGATTTTTGGTCTTTTTAAATTGAACCCCTTTTAAAGGTTATCTAGATGAGATGCTATATTTCACAAATTGTTATAGCAATGCATCTTTGGTTTCTCACTGCTGGACATGTAAAGTTAAAGAGTAAAATGCATGTTTGATCTATTTGGTATTCACACTATGGATTAGTATTCAGCAATCATTGGTATGTATTATATGGATATATATATTTTTTTGACACAGGATTGTCCAGAGGTGCATGCAAATGCAGCTGAAACGCTGTGTTCTATAACACGATTTGCTCCCCCGGGTCTTGCTGCTAAGATTGCTGGTCCAAAGTATTGTTTTATCGTCCATTTTTGCTCAGAATTACTGTTAATGGTTCTGTATGGCATCCCCCTTATCTTATTATTGGTCATTTCCTTTTTCCATGGTATCATGCAGTTTTATAGGGAGATTATTTCGTCATGCTTTGGAAGACTCTCGGCCAAAATCTGTTCTGGTTAACTCTTTGTCTATCTGCATATCTTTGTTAGACCCTAAGAGGCTAACATTGGGGCAATACTATATGTTCAACCGTCAGCTAACTCATGGACCCACAGTAACTGCAAATCCAGAGACGGTTGAAGGAATGCTGAGTAGCCTAGGTGAATATTAGTCAATAGGTTTTCCATTCTTTGGTGATGCCAGATTGGAGCAATGTCTGTTTATATTACTAATTTGTTTCCTTTTTATGACTAAAGACACTGAATTTTGATGTTGTACAATTCTGCAGGTGATTTACTAAAGCTTTTGGATGTGTCGTCTGAGGAGAGTGTTTTGCTAACTACATATGGCAAGTTGCAGCCACCTCTTGGAAAACATCGCCTGAAGGTATGTCTTATGTGTTTTTTATCTAGTCTTTTTTCTGTCTTTCTAAGGATTTAAAAGCTGTCTTATTTTTTGGTCCTTCGCCTAAGTAGATTATTACTGATTTTTGAGAAGTTTCTACTGTATGACTATTTTGTAGCTAGCCCCAGCTTGAATTTCCATTTTTTTTTTTTTCACAGTAAGCTAATGAGCGATTTTTTTATATTCTTATTTAATACAAATTGATGATGGATGTTTTCAGATTGTAGAGTTCTTTTCAGTATTGCTGACAGTTGGTAGTGAAGCAGCTGAGAAGGAATTAATTCGACTTGGTGCAGTGAAAAGAATATTGGATTTGTTCTTTGAGTAAGTTAAAAGAAGCTCTGCTATGCAATGGAGGATGATCAGACCTCAGGCCTTATGCCGTTTTGTAATTGTGACTGTAGGTACCCATACAATAATTTTTTGCATCATCATGTAGAGACCATAATCTTATCTTGTTTGGAGAGCAAAAATGCACCTCTTATCAAGCATCTTCTTCATGACTGCAATCTGGCGGGGAAAATTCTTGAAGCTGAGAGGAATTTCACTTTGGAAGCTAATCCAAATAAGGTAATTGTCCTGTATCTGTATGTTACTCTTATTTATTTATTCATTGGGGCATTTCTTAATATGCCTTATATATTTATTTATTTTTTTACTTTTTCTATCATGTTCTTGTTGCTTATGCTCTGTACTTTGCCTTCTGTATGCTAGTTAGAATTTACATATTTTGTTCTCCCACAGCCAACTATCCCTGCTGAGGGTCGATTGCCGCCCAGGATAGGAAATATTGGACACTTAACACGCATATCTAACAAACTTGTACAGCTGGGAAATAACGGCAACGAGATTCAGGCATATTTGCAGGTTTATTACTCAATCTCTACTATTGTTTAATCAGTTAATAGGCCATATTTCTTAGCAATAAAGTTCTTTCTCAGGCTTGCAAAGACGTAAAGTCAAGATTGGGATCTGATTGGCTTAGTTATATAGTAGAATAATATTTTCTTGGTGCAACTGTAAGTCAAGTTATAGTAAGTAGTTCATAGGTCTTTTATTTATTTATCATTGTAGTCGTTCTAGAGCCTATTTTATTTGAGAATGATTGAAAGATTATACCAACTTTGAGTTGAGTCCTCTCTCCCTTCCTATAAAGTGTCCCAACTATTTTTGTCATGTGCAGCACGTTGTCAGTAGTTTTAAGCGTAGTGTCTTGATTTTGATTATCTTGCACTATATATCACTTACCCAATGCAAAAACATCTATTGTTCTAAGTATTGTTTGAATATTTTAGTTATTATTGTATTTATATTTGTGGCTTTTATTTTTTTATAGGAAAACAGTGAATGGAGCGATTGGCAAATAAATGTCCTATCAAAGCGAAACACTGTGGAGAATGTATATCAGTGGGCTTGCGGGTATGTTTTCTTTCTTTCAAATGATGTTGCTGATCATGCCAAAGGTTTTTTGTTTCTGAATCTTTCTGCTTACGCATCTAAATGTGGAGTAAGTTTAGCCACTTTATATATGGTTTTGATTCTGTATGGTTTCTTTTCAAATTTCCATTTTGTAGTGATTATTTTCTTTATAGAAATTGTTAATACATTCTCTGGATCAACAGCCATAAACATATATGCAAGGATTTATGTTTTAAAATTTCAGTGTTATTTTGGTTATGTTTAATGATTAATCATCCCATGCTTTTGTATTCCATATCACTTAGTCTGGGTGTTGTTGCAGTTGTGATTTGGCTGCTCTATTCCATTGCTTATTTTGCAGATTTGGAATCAACAGTTGGCTAGATGGTCCTTAATTAATCATCCCATGCTTTTTTATACCGTATCACTTAGTCTGTATGATATACTTATTTGCACATTCTAGTGGAAGCCGAACAAAACTACACCAAACCCAGCACCCCCGTGCCTAGTCCTTTTTTTTGGGAATAGGAAATATTTTACCGAAAAAAGAGTGGACTAGTAGTCCACAGAAAAATAAAGTTAAGAGATATAGATATCATTAAAAACACTTCAATTCCCTTTTATACAAGCTTATCCATTATTTACTAATGGAAGTGCAACAATGTTGGCTACATTACATGTATTTTCAGAGTAGTTAGAAGAATTCGTGGGCTATTGTAATTAATTCTGTTGCTTGGAATACCAAGGTTAGTTTAATAGTTCTTTTATTTGTGTGTGTGTGTCTACAGGATTAGTAAGAAGTTTCGTTTCATTAAATGTTGCATCAAATTGGTTGATAATTCTAGTTTCCATCTATTTTGGCATTGTTAATTGTGAGATGCGCAACAGATATAGGTCTTGGCCCTTATATATTGTTATTACTATTTTTTTATTTCTCTAATTAGTTACTCCCATTCAAAAGTTTTGGGAATGGCGGAAATTTTATGTTTTTGAATGAGGTTGGTGCATTTATGTGCTACTGTCCCTTCTAGAATTCTGTAATGGTTGGTACACTTGTATTGAATATAATATATGTGAATTTATTTACTTTTATTAATATAGGGATGGTTTATCTGTTTAAACAGGAGGCCTACAGCTCTACATGACCGGAATAGAGATAGTGATGATGAAGATTACCAAAATAGAGATTATGATGTTGCAGCCCTGGCAAATAACTTGAGCCAGGCCTTTCGATATGGCATTTACAACAATGATGATATTGATGAGGTGCTTTTTAGAGCTTTTTGAGTACTCTAATTGTAATACATTTTTTAATTCTTTTATTCTTATCAAATAAATATTAATTAACTATATAAATATAATAAGAAGGGAAAGTATGAAGGTGGAGAATAAATATATTTCTATAATTGCAACAAGTCAAATAAGTTACCAACAGAGACACGATTGCAGAGCCATATCGCTTTTGTATGATCAACAGAAGTCATGGCCTCTTTTCAAGCTAGGTATTGGCCTTTGAATTGGTGGGTCTGGGAAATACCAAGCGAAGGTATGAGGCAGACTTGCCATGTTTAGGGAACAGATTACCTATTCTAGAATGAGTAATATCCATGCAGTAAGGCATGAAAAGATTAAAAGCCTTTGTTTATGGTTATGATAGATTGATAGGAATTAGTGTCAAAGATTTTTAAGATGATTTTTCTTCTATTGTGCCTTCTACCTCATTAACATGTGTTTGGATTTTGTATAAAGACCAATTTTAGTGAAGCATTTGATTGGCTTTTCTCTAGTCATAAATCCACGTGCATTTGTCTGGAAGTGGTATGAACTAACATTCTATTGTTCTATTGTTCTCTTTTCTACACATCTAAATAAAACTATCAAGCAGTAAATTCAAGATGGCATTTGAAATATCAAATTTTGTTCTTTCTTTAATTATTTGAGACTGCAGAAATCACACCTACGTTTTAAATGTTTATAAATTATACTTTTAAAAGTCTCTCCTATAAGCAAACATTGCTGGTTGTTATGCCCTTCTAATGTGTATTTCATTCCTTGTCATCTCTCTTTTATATATAATTGTTGTGAAGTAACCTAAGCAGTTCTTGGGGATGAAGAGATTTGCTTTTATCCGAATCAAAACTCTGTTTTCATTTTGGAATAGAATTTGTTTCTTAGCATCATTACAGGCGACAGTCACTAAAGAATTCAAGGATTCTTAATTTTCTTTTGGAAGCTCTTTTGCACTAAAGTTAGAGGCTGATTTTTTATAGTTCAATATTGTAGAGAAATGTCTGACCTTTTGTAAATCTTAAAGAGGACTTTTGGTCCATCTCAATGTTTGTATCTTCTTTGTGATAGAAATAAAATGATACTGTTTCTTTTTAAAGAGGGTTGGAATCTTTGTTTAGGACCAACAATACCCGGCATTTTTTTACTTTTCAAAGTATGTATCTCTGCATATATTATCATGTAAGGGGCATTATTCTTTGATGTTGATGGTTAGACTGAGATAGTTTCTCCTATCTTGGAAATGGGTTCAAAAGTTGTGGTAAGCCATTTTTCTTGGGGATATATTATTGTGATGTGGATGTTCTAATGCAAATGCTTAAACGGATGTTTGTACCATCGTAACCTAAATTTATCTTGTCTTCTTTTTCCTATCCTTTTATTTTAGGTATCAGATTGGAATCAGTGTGTCGTTTATGTAATACCTGTAATGCTATTTTCATGCATCTGTGATATTTATTAATTTATTGAATTCTAACATATTAATTCAAGATTATCAACAATAAATTTTTTTTGGTTACTTCACTTCTTTTTTCCAAGTTGCTTTTCCTTTTTCAGTAGTTTTTCTTTGACTAATGTGAGTTTCCCTTTTCATTGAGATCCTGTGAAGCTGGCACTGCTTGCTAATTTTATTTATTTATTTATTTTTAATGGATTTCAGGCACACGGCTCTCTTGAGCGAGATGATGAGGTATGAGATACAATTATATTTCATTTTCACTTTATTGATTATGAAGAGAATAACTTGCTAGTATCTGTTTCAGCATTTGCCTTCCCAACGCTGTTTGTTTTATTTTCTGTTTCTGTTTATTATTGTGATTATGATTATGATGACAACATCATAATCATTATTTGCAATGATTTTTAATCAGTCCATGCTCGATTCTTCTTGTTTGACATGGCAATATTTGGTTATGTCAACATTGGAGCTTTTTGCTGAGGCATAACAAAATTATATCAAACCTTTTCTATAGAGAAGTGTCATGTGATGCCGCTTTAAGTTTTCTTACTNGATGATGACATCATAATCATTATTTGCAATGATTTTTAATCAGTCCATGCTCGATTCTTCTTGTTTGACATGGCAATCTTTGGTTATGTCAACATTGGAGCTTTTTGCTGAGGCATAACAAAATTATATCAAACCTTTTCTATAGAGAAGTGTCATGTGATGCCGCTTTAAGTTTTCTTACTGATCATATTGGAAAAAATTCACTATGTCATCCTATTTGAATTAAGTTATTTGATGTCTGCATGTAAAGGACATTATAGGCTAAACATTGTTTGCATAATTAATTGGTTTCTATTTAATTCCTTCTTTCTCTTTTATTTTTGTTTTTGTTTCTTTTATTTATTTATTTATTTATTTGGGTTGTCTTTATGTTTTTGGGGGTATTTTTCTGTGAATTATTGTACTCCTGAACTTTACACATTGAGAGTTTATGAACCTAGATTCCCTGGGTGGGTAGAGAGCAACAATTTTTTGGCTTCTCTTAGACAGCATGTTCACTTGTAGATCCATTTTTGAATTTATCAAAAATTATACAGTTTCGTATTAAGAAAAATCTTTGAGTCATTCATGCATTACTGTTATCGGAGTTACTATGAAGAATGTAGATCGTACTTCTGAAGATGTTAAGTTAATTAGATATTCTATCTATATACCATATATTTTGCCAAAAGTAGTTTAAACAAGTTCTACTGACTCTTATGATGATAAGAGTCATTGGTCTGTTATAGATATACAGCAATATTTTTTTTTTCCCAGTTGATGGCTTAGTATGAAGAGTGTTAAAAACAACTTTTTTTTTTTTTTAAAAAAAAAAACAAATCTATTCTAGTTTCTAGCTATAACTTACAGAACTTGTTCTGTCTTGTTAAAGGAAGAAATATTTGAGTAGTGGATATTTTCTGATGGAGATACTTGACAGGATGTCTACTTTGATGATGAATCTGCTGAAGTTGTTATTTCTTCTCTGCGTCTGGGAGACAACCAAGAAAGGTAGGTTGAAAGCTCTTATTTGATCTTCCTTTCTGTTCATTTAGTATCCAAGCAAATTTTAGATCTGTAAGTCTTATTCTGAATACAAATGATACAAGGCATTCTATTAAACCTATAAACCTCATCAAAATTTCATTAGTTACAAGTAGATAAAAAGGTGGTTATTATGCTGAAAGATTCACTTTTATTAATATAGCAAATAATCAACGGAAAAAATAATAATTATATCTTGAAATATAGGCCATGTCGCTCATGTCGCTCATAACCTTTTTATTTTTTTGGGGGTTATTACATTGGCTTTTGAACTAGTAGCCCCAATTTTGTGAATTAGAATAAGAGCACCTACTTTGCTTGCGTTGTGGCTATGTGGAATATTTTAGGTTCTGACTGACTAGTTAGTTCAGCAAAGAATGACTGATGTTTGAGGAACACACCTGGTCTGTTTGGTCGATTTGAATGTGGAGAATGTGCGTGTGAAATGAACTCCAGTCTAACTAGTGCTTGGATAAGAATGTTTTTCAGTTTTGCAACATTTCTTGGGATTGAATGCCTGGATGTTTGCTGCAGCTACCTATTTTGGCTTTGCTTTACCATTCAAAGTCTATTAGTTTTAATTGAAGAAAAATGATTTGGATTGTTCCTTTCTTGAAGCCCTCTAATATAGATAACATTAGCTTTAAGTAATTTTTTGCATTTATAATCAGTGTTACCATTGCTCAAGTTTCTTTCCTCTTTACATATGATCTTGATTCTGGACTTGGTAACTGATGCTTCTTCTTTGGCCTTTGCAGTGGTTCTCTTTTTACAAATTCCAATTGGTTTGCTTTTGAGGAGGAAAGAGTCAACAATGACCGTTCCACTGGATCGCCTGCTTCCCCTTCTCCTAATAATGAAGAGGCTGCTGTTACTAACCGTGGAGGTGATAATGAAGTTGTTGGGGAAGATGAAGACTTGGATGACACTGCAACATCTCCTGCCGTACCAGAAACAAAATCAGAAGATACTGATGTAGTCAATCTGCCTGAAGATTCTGAAGAAACAGGACCCAGTGCGACTGAAAAGCCTACTGTTTGGGTTGAATGGAGGGAGACTCCAGATTCCAGTAATCCATCTGATGCAGCTGAACCTGTTAGTGTGCCTAATGGTGAGGTGCAAGTAGAAACGAGAGATGAGGTTGTTGATTGTGGCCCAGATGCTTCTGAACCTTCTTCCTCTTCTTCCAATGAAATAGCAAATGCTGATGCAACGCCTACTGGAGAATTATCACAAACAGAAGATGAAAATAAAAGTGCTAGTTCTAATCCTGTAGAAATTCCACAACCAGACGATGGTAAACCAAGTCCAGAACCAATTACTTCCGATGAGGCGAAAACAGTGGTAGAAGCAGCGCAAGGCACTCCTGAAGTAAACAAGAGCGAAGCAGCACAAGGCACTCCTGAAGTAAACAAGAGCGAAGAGGCAGTGAAAGAAACAGAAAACTGATGTATATTCAACAGAATTACCGAGTTAATTGGGCTAACTCACACTGCACAATATTGGACAAAGCGGGAAGATGAATATTTGAAAGATTGGCCACTGTACTTTTAGAGCCTTCTTCTGTACATTGTCTAAGTAGGGCTTGATGATTCTTTTTCCCCAGCCATTGCCAACCAACTTCAAATTGAGAAGATAAGGGATACAAGTATTGCAACATTTAATCAATTAATTTTAGCTTTTAGGTAGGGATGATTCAGAAATGGAATTTGTGAACCGAATCGTACACGGCATTTTCAGTACAATAATATGTTTATATTTATATATGATTCTCCTTCTTTCATAATGTCAAATATAGAATTGATGATATGATTTTAAGAATCTTTCTCTTCCGGTTTCTTTATTGAATAAATATTTTGGTGAAATTAGTATCAACTTCATTTCAGCTGTGGAATGAGGTTGTACAGGCAAAGGCCAGCCAGAGACTGCTTTCTATCGCACTCTTGAAATTTTTGTATACTGTGCGGTTGCATTTTAAAATTTTAATGAGAAAGCCTTTTTTGACTAATTTAAAGTATTGAATTTCAAAAATATCTCCATACCATTTTATTTGCTCTGACTTATCCCTTTTTCGGTAAATTAATATTAAAAAGCTCTTCTATATTTTCCGAATCAAACAACCATAATTTTTTTTCACAAATACCTCACTAAAATAAGCCCTTTGAAGAATCTTACTATTGCCAATGCATAATTAAATAAAATCCTTGCATAATTCTTTATTGCTTTGCAAAAACCAAATGCCACGAAAAAGAAGTTTTGAATGTTTAACTTTCAACATATCATTTCTATCAAGTCATTGTACAAAATGAATTATGAACCACCCTTGAAAAATTAATCAATATTTTATTTCACTTGCCCATCCATCCTTCATGGAAACTCTAAAACTGTATGAAAAAAGATGTATGTTGCATAATGTATTTGATCTTCTATTTTTTTTTCAAGTCCAAGTGAACAAATACAACAGGAAACAGATATGATCAGAAAAATGGAGATACAAAGGGCTATACTCATATAATTTATAAATTTGGACAAAAAAAGAAAAAGAAACAAACATGCTATTCCTTTCACTTGATTTCTCAACTCATGCTAAGTCAAAATTGGAGATTAGAAAATCATTTGTCAAACCCTATTGTGAGAGTGTCAGGGGATGAACAGCAACTCCATTTTGAGCCGGTCGAAGACCTCCCCATCTTCCGAGACGAGGTTCCTGTTGCAGATGTATTTTAATGCATCAGATCTAAACCATTCTAATTTCAAATAATATATTGTTTTTGAATAACTGGCCAATATATATAAATATATTCAACATGTCACCTGCCCGACTCCAGCAACAAGGAACTGTCCAGATTTCGCAAAAGCAAGGGAATTCACAAACCCAACCTGTCTTGCACATAAGATTCAGTTTAAGCATTAAATGAGATCCTATTAAGTTATGAGACCACTTAAATTGTATGACTCGATGCATAAGTACCAAATAGAAGCAGTGAGAAGGATCGATACTTGAAAAAATAAAGTTAAGAGGCTCAATTCTAGCTTATTTATATAAGGCAGGTACTATGCATAAGAGTAATACTAAATGTCCCAAAATATATCCAAAATTCACATCCCAAATTATGTGTTATCTAATTTGGCATTGCCATGCCATTTACCAAATTACACCTCAACACCACATAGACACATCAGTTGGAATGTGTAGTATTATTGCTATGCATAAAACCAATATTGTAAAGACACCAAGAAAAATATGCCACTGAAGTATAAGCCATAAGCAAGATAAAAGTAATGGCTCATTGAAACACATGGTTTATAAAAATTTAAAAAAATTTTCCAGACCAATTCATTAGATCGAGGGTTTTTATCATGACAAATTGATTTTATTCTCCTGCTGAACTTTAAAATCTTCCATTTATGAAATTTTGCCAGGTTAATTTACCCTTTTTTTTAAAAAAAAAAAAATTTCACACAAATCTTGTTTCATATTAATTATATAATCAACAAGTTATCAGACTGCAAAATGCATACAGCTACATCTCATTAACAGCCACCATAAGAGAACATAGATGGACAGAACCATTACATATGGGGTTAACTTACCAATGGAAGGTCGTATAAGGGTCGAATGTCCTTGGTTTCACNAAACACATGGTTTATAAAAATTTAAAAAAATTTTCCAGACCAATTCATTAGATCGAGGGTTTTTATCATGACAAATTGATTTTATTCTCCTGCTGAACTTTAAAATCTTCCATTTATGAAATTTTGCCAGGTTAATTTACCCTTTTTTTTAAAAAAAAAAAAAATTTCACACAAATCTTGTTTCATATTAATTATATAATCAACAAGTTATCAGACTGCAAAATACATACAGCTACATCTCATTAACAGCCACCATAAGAGAACATAGATGGACAGAACCATTACATATGGGGTTAACTTACCAATGGAAGGTCGTATAAGGGTCGAATGTCCTTGGTTTCACTTCCAATAGCCCATAAACGGACAGAACCATTACCAGCTCCTGATGCAGCAAGATCACTGCCTCTACATACACTGATTGAACTCACCCAGGAATATGCTGATGAGAAATTATAGATTCCAGGATTATGATCACCATTCTCTGAAGAATGAAAGTCAGCATCCAATTAGAATCCCAACTAATGGAAAGTACTCATTAAGATCAAATATAAAAGCAAGCTCTTCACTTATTCTCCTTCTTGTTGTGAAAACTAATAGCATATTGATATGTCTATGGAAAATGGAAAATCCAAATAACAATAGAAGGGTAAAACAGAAACATAACAAAAGAACTAATTGATGCATAAAAAATAGTCTCTTTTTTCTTATAATCTTTATGAAACTTCTCATAATGAAGATTGAACATGTCAAACACTTGATGACACAACACTCATGTCCACTTCTTGTCTAACAATCATATATAGGCGGTAACAGAAGACTGCACCTTTATTTGTGAAAACAATAAGAAAAACTTTGCAGGTGCTGTAAAAATGCTTTTATGAATATTTCACATACTTGTAAGTGTGATGGCTGTTTTATAAGTAAACACACTGTTAAAGTTGGCAAATAAGTTTAAAATTATTATTGTACAAACATTCATGGGTATGGTCATATCTTTGAATAAGTTTTCATGAATTTTCAACGTATAAACATACTATTTCCATGTTGAAAAATGAGCCCATGCCTTTCGATCATGTATACATTTTTCCCACAAAACAAAAATTAAATTCAAAAGATAGAATCTCCAGATTTCAAAGCCAGCAGTAAGAATGAAATTAAGAAAATTATAGTAAAAAAAAAAAAAAAAAAAAGCATATAATTTTTTAATCAGAGTCAGATCAAGATACTGCAGATTTACCCATAAGACCATTGGAGGTCTTGCTGTTCTCATTTTGTTCAGTATTCTTGTGGCCAGCCAACAAAGGATGAGCATTCTTCACAATGTAAGCAGGCTTCTTACGCAGTGCACTCCAAAGCTCAACACTTCCGTCATCCGAGCCAGACAAGAATTCATCGTTACTGATAAAGCAACAACATTCCAGAGATGAAGCAGGAGCACGAAATACTAAACGTGATTCCTCAGGGACCTATTTAGCAGAATAGGTTAAGTGAGGATATGACCAGAAATGCAGTGAAAAGGTTACCACTGAAAAAAAAAAAAAAAAAATGGCAACTGCAAAGTGCATAAAAGATTTCTTAATCATATACTTGCAACAGAATGCAAACTCCGTTTTACACTATAAAAAATAAAAATAAAACCCACCCTAAAATAGCTGCTCCATGATTTTAACTTGGATCATGCAAATATTTAAATTAGCAAACCTTAAGGAGTCCTTTGAAGAAAATATTGNGTGCACTCCAAAGCTCAACACTTCCGTCATCCGAGCCAGACAAGAATTCATCGTTACTGATAAAGCAACAACATTCCAGAGATGAAGCAGGAGCACGAAATACTAAACGTGATTCCTCAGGGACCTATTTAGCAGAATAGGTTAAGTGAGGATATGACCAGAAATGCAGTGAAAAGGTTACCACTGAAAAAAAAAAAAAAAAAAAAATGGCAACTGCAAAGTGCATAAAAGATTTCTTAATCATATACTTGCAACAGAATGCAAACTCCGTTTTACACTATAAAAAATAAAAATAAAACCCACCCTAAAATAGCTGCTCCATGATTTTAACTTGGATCATGCAAATATTTAAATTAGCAAACCTTAAGGAGTCCTTTGAAGAAAATATTGTTTACCTTCCACAATTGCATAGTCCGATCACGTCCAACAGTCAATACCCGTTCTTTGCGTAGGCAGTCAATGGTCAATACTTCACTTTGGTGACCAAATAGAGTGTTTATATAAGCTCTGTCTTCTGCATTCCATATCTTGACCGTTCGATCAAATGAACCAGAAAAAAGTTCAGAAGTTCCTTGCCTGAAAGTTAAACAAGACACAGGCCCTCTGTGTCCTGGAAAGACCTATAAAACAGAATTTAAAGATGAGAATAGCATGAGAGAAGAAAGAAACCAAAATGTCATGAACCCAAGATAAATGCTTATAACAGAGTCGGACAAAGCATTATATATCAAATATAGTGCATGTGAAAAACTAACAACCATGGATAGGCTACATGAAGAGTCTACCCAATGCAAAAGAACTAGTGTCACGTTTTGAGGGAATTGCAGTTAAAACTGGCATATCAACATACATGTAAGTTAACGGGCCACAGGACAATGCTAGACAATTAGAATACCAAGTAAATCTTTTTAATTATGCTAAACATAAGTGTCAAACAGTATACAGGTCCTGCTAGAGCAATAGAAGCTCCACTACTGATTTATTATATGTCCAGGGATTCCTACAGCTGAATGCAATATAGTTATCAATGTTTGAATTCATACCCCAAATAATTTCCAATCACCTTGCATATTGTTTGACAATGAATAAATGAAACGCATTACCTGTATATGCTCTCGTGTACGGGTGTCCCACAAATGAACATGGCGGTCTAATCCTCCACTAGCCAAATACCGACCATCAGAGCTAACAGCCAATGCTAAAACCTGTTTACTATGTTTTGTAGCTCGACCTTGTGGATCTTTGGCACCATGGAACTTTAGCACATCCTCACTAGGCCATAAATATTTCACAACTTTCCCACTATCAACATCCCAATGTAAAATGGTGCCATCTTTGGAAGCTGAAAAGCCCTTTGAATCATCCTCAGATAGAGCTACAGCAGCAACAGATTGCCGATGCTTCACTAAAACCCGGAACTCATCAATCTTTTGAGGGCTTTGAACCCTGAAATGCAGTTGTTAAACTAAAGCACCCAAAAAGAGAAAAAAGAAGCACCGTGTATCAAGCTAAAATAAAAAATACAATAACAAAACACTACGGGGATCAAGAATTTGAACTTAAATTCAATCAAAGCCATAGTTGCACCCTAAGTTCAAAAGAATCCAATGTCTACCAAATCCATACTTACTAACACCCAAAACACCAACACTCTCAATCCACATTTATCTTTTTAAACCAAAAATACGCCCAACCCAATTCAAGGTATTGTGTTCAGAACTGAACATGGCCATCATAGCACCAAATCAAATCCAACAGAAACTCCAACTTCAAAAATAATCAATCAAATGCTAAAAAATACCAATCAACAACATAGCCCATCAAGCATTCCACCGAATATTGCATACAACACTTTCATGACCCTTTATTATGTCCTATTTCTTCAGTAAGTTTTTGTTTTCTGAGCCGTTATATCCCATCCATGTATAGATATACCCTGTAAAGTTGTTCACTACTTCGTAAATCTTTCTCGAATTTTTATAAGTTTGCTTGAGTTTCCTATCAGAAAAATATTGCCTACGATATAAAAACTTCATAAACAAAGAAAACAAACAAACACTATACCAATATTACCTTGAAGCAATCACTCTCCTAACTCTCCCACTCTCCTCCAACTGTTCCTGCTGCAAAATCTTTGCAACAAGGGAATCTCTTTCGCCTTCTTTCTCTCCCTCATCCCTTCCATCCTCTTCCTCCCCCTCCTTTTCCCTCCTCGCAATCTCTCTTATCTTCTCCAAATACGCCGTCGCTACCCGTTTTCTCTTCTCATCCGCGGTCTCCTCCACCTCGCTATCATCAGACCCACCTCCCCCAATTTCATTATCATAGTCTTCCGATTCTCCAGAGTCAATGTCATCGTCATCATAATTGAATTTTCTCCTCTTCTTCGTCTCGCCCTCGAAAAAGGGGTCTTGGTTTAATGAAGATTTGTTCTTTCCCTTGTGGGCTGAACCACCCATCTTCTTCTGGGTGTTTTTGTACTTCATGATTCAACAGTTGGATGAAACTACTGAAAGATAATAATGTAGTTTGATGTTTTATTTAATGTATATTTTAAAAGAAGTGAGGAATGGTGATTTGAAAGAAAGGTGAATTAGGGTTTAAGCTGCAGGGTTTTTCCATCCGAATGGACAACAGGGGTTAAGCGGCAAGCAAATTGATTAGGGTCTGTTTATTTATGGGTTCGGGTCCGGGTCGGGTTTTTAGATTCAAACTTATTTGTGTGCTTTTTGTAAGTGATTTTGAATAAAGTGCTTTTGAGTTGCAAGAACTTTTTATATAGAAGTACTTATTTATTTATTTCTTTATTGTTAGTAGTATTATTATTTTTTCAGAAAAAAATGATGTTATATATCAAGTATTTGAACTGAATTTTCTTATTAAAAAAAAAATTTAGGAAATATTTTAACATTTTAGAAAAATGTTTTAAATCTTGTTTGGTATTAATTTCTTTAGAGGTTTTACAAAAGGGTTTTTTCGTAAAGCTAAAATTAAAAAAAAAAAATCCCATTTAGAAAATGGCATTATAATTAATTTAAAAAAATTATTTTCTTTGGGACTACAAAAATTTATTTCTTTAGACAAATTTGAATTAACAATTTACAGCCATGACCTCCACCAAAGGTTTTTAAGACTAATTTTTATAAAATTTGATTTTTATAATTTTTATATTTATTCCGCGTTCCTCTTACAAATTACAATTGTGGTCTTCAGCAGTAATATTAGTTTATGTAGGGTGAAAGTTGGGATAAATTTGATAGGAGTTATTTTTTAATTTGACCTTAAAAAATGGTTTGTTTAAATAATTATTTCTTATCTTTAATTCAAATAACAAGGATTATTATAAATCACAAAAATATCAAACTGGCTTTTATTGCCGTCTAGCATTTTTCAATACTATTGGATCGATAAAGATGAAAGATTTAATTTTAATATCAAACAATTTACTAATCCAAAAGAGTTTTTTTTTTTTTTTTTTTTTTATTGATAGCAAATGATGTCTCTAGTTCTAACTTCTTTAAAGAGCTTTTAAAGATATTTATTGTTTTTGCGGACGAAGTAAATTTTTGGGTTTCTAGTGTCTATTTCCCAAAAGTTTAAGAAAGCTTAAGTTGTGTTCTTATATGAATTTTGCATTTTTATTTTCTATTTTTTTAGAATGTTGAAAATAAAAGAAAAATGAAAACAACATTTGAAAATGTATTTGATATATTTATATAAAAATACGAAATTCATTATTTACATAACCGATAAAATTATTTCAAAATACCACTTATTTTTTTGACATAGTATAATGGGTATTAAAATTGGTTGGAGAATACAAGAGGGAAAATTTTTGTTTAATCCAGAAGAGAGTGGGTGCTTAAAGTTTCTATATTGAAAGATTAAGAATGATAACCGAACAGCATCTGCACCTTTTACTAGAAAAATAAGGGAAATGGCAAAATCAAACACATCTCCATTTTCTTTTCCATAATATTTGAAACTCTCACTTTGTTTTTTAAAATTATTTCAAGTTGTTTGATTACATCTCATAAGTTTTAAAATAAGTTATTTTACGTCTATTGGAAGAAACTCAAAATTCCAACTTCTTCTAGTTTATTTTAAGTGTTAAAATTTCAAAAATACTATTTGTCTCCTTTTTATTTGGTAAAGATGAAATAATTAATTTAGAATAAGATCTATACAACCAACCAAATCAAAGGAATCACTTGTATGTCACTGCCAACCAAATCTTCAATGGCCTACTATAGTTACTGCAAATTTCCAGAAGAACCTTGGCCATCAAAGAATAAATGTATAATCAAAGGAAACCAAAAATGTTAAAAAATAAAAATAAAAGATAAAAGATAAAGAAAAGACAGTTACTATTTCTCTCCCTTTTCTTTGGTACAGATGAAATAATCAATCAGAATAAGATCTACTTCGTGCTCTTCTGATGATATGTGATTTGGTGAAATGTTAAAAAAAATAGCATTATCATTCTCTTCATTTGGTTACAAAAATATGCACACATCTAACAGTTATTTGAATATTTTGCCCCCAACCCCCACACAATGGGAATAGACCCTCATTGAAATTTATGAATTACAAAACAAAGAATTCATCACTGGGAATTGATTAGTTTAGTCGCGTTCTACAATAAAGTAGGTATTTGGTGGGAGGGAAGAATGTCGGGGGCAAACTCGCTTTTCTGGTTAGCAGTTTTGCAATCTGTTGCTCGGTAGATAGCATCTACTAGTGATCTGAACTGTTGCCCGCCTCACCTTCTGAGCCTCGCCGCTTCTTCTTTCCCTCACCATGTCTGGACCGCCTTGGTGCCTCATCCTCACTCTCACTCTCATCGTTTCTGAAGTTTCCAGAACCAAATTGATCTTCATGGTGTCCTTTTAATCCTTCTTGTTGATACTGTGTATCATCGTCCAGTCCCCCACCTGGACCAGCCATTTCTTGACCCCTGCCCTGGTCTAACCCTGTACTATATCTGTCATTGCGATCATTATTTGGTGCCCTTTGATCTCTCTTAGAAGAACGGCCAGTGTTTTGAGAGGATGATGGTGGAGGTGGAAACATCGGGGGCACACCAACTGGCCGACCAGCTCGAGGATTTGTAGCATTGGGCCCCATCCCTCCCATAAAAGGGGCTCTACCTGGACCCATCATCATCCCAAATCCATTAGCTGGAAACACACCCCCTGTTTGAGGTCGCCCAGGAAACATCATGCCAGTTGGCCCTGTAAAATCACCAGAAAACCTAGGACCATATGGTGGAAAAGCACGGGGAGCCACACCAAACATATCTGGCATTGGAAAACCCTCAGGTGCAACAGGTCCGTATGAAAATCCATCAGCACCCATCATAACAGGCGGAAAACCTCGCATCCCAGGCATTGGTCTAGCCCCACGTGCTAGAGGCATGTGAGGAGGCCACATCATTCCTCTGCCCCTCCCTCTGCCCTGACTTGCAGATCCGAAGCTCTCATCCTCCTCTTCACTTTCTTCCTCTTCCTCTTCTTCATTGTCCTCGAATGGGACGATGTCTGGGTTATCCCCAGCATTCTCCGGATTGACTCCCTTTGCTTTTTCCTCTTCTCGTTTTGCTTCTGCTGCAACTGATATAGCCTGAATTCCAGAAAGAAGCACAAAATGCAGAGCCATTTAGTTCTGGCCTCTAGGCATATAATAAACATCAAGAGGGCTTGCTATAATAAAATAAAATATCAAGCTTTACACCATCTCCATCAACTCTCTCAACCATAATGGTTCTGCCGCTCAAATTTTTTTAGCACCAGAACCTATTAGGTTAAAATTAAATGTCCTGGCTACTGAACTGATCCACAGAAAGTACAAAATGGACTGTACAAGAAGTCTACCCCATGACAATAAAAAGTAATGTGAAATGAAGAATACAAACTAATTATAGATGCCTTATATTTTTTTGAACTTAAAGTAGATTAAAAAACAAACAAAAAAAAAAAAAATTTGGTCTAATGCTAGCCCTTCAGAAAGAAAGTCTAAATAATGTCGTTGATAAGAAACAATGAAAAATAATGAATCTGCCTTTCATTTCAGGTTAAATTTCCTAAGATCCGTCCTCTCATGCTATAGCAACTTACATATGTTAACCAACAACTTCCAAGATCATTTGGGAGTTATTGGAATTGTAAGTATTTATCATGATAATAATTATATGGTATAGAATTTAGTGTAAAGACATCCCAAGTTCTAAACCACGACTGGAAAAAGCTCATTCCCCTCAAGGTTGGAGGCTGGTATTATCTTGGGAACCAAAGTGCGATCGGGATGAGAGTTGCGCGAACAGAATATGAAGGAGAGATGATCTCTGCTATGCTAGACAAGCAATCAAAGTCATTAGACCCTTTTTTAATTTTTTAATTTATTTTTTTGACAAAAGAAGAAACTACAAACTTTGTTAGTTAAAATAGTAGAATCAGGGTTAATTAAAGATCATATGATTCTAGTTCACAATCTTTTCTATGGTTACTTTGAGCTTTTGAGTTGCGGACAACGCAAATTCATACGTCTACACTATCAATATCTTGTTTCTGATAAGAGGGAAGATGCCCAATTCTTGGTGTATTTCTGTGCATGTGCACATGCCAGTGCATCACAAACCAAGAAGCATAACAAGATACATACAATATTCCTATTTCAAAAGCATGAGATTTGACTATAAACTTTAGAAATACTAATACATGTCATGTTCAGGGAATTTGCTATCTGAAAAAATATGAGAAATTCATGTCACTTTTTTCCTTTTTCTTACTTTGTCCAAAACTATTCTAATAATTTCTGCTATATCTCTCCATGTTAAAAATATATAACATACCATAAGTTCACTATCTGGTTCGAGATAAAGCAAGGAAGCCAATTGCTCACCAATAGAGGGCTCTAACTCCTGACAATCTCTACTAATCTGCAATAATACAATTACAACAATATGAACAAAGTAAATAGGAGTTTGTACTAAGATTAGCAGCAAACTGCACCATCATGCAAAAGCAATATGTAGCGGTACAAGAATTACTATAATTAAAAGTATGTAGAAAAAATATTTGATAACACAATAATGTATCAAGATTTGTGTAAATAAATACATAGTGATTCAATGCAAATAACTTCCAATCCAACCAATAAACTCATAAATCAAGATAAACTCACACCAACAAGCAAAGCCCCAGTCCAATAATTTGCATTGTAGTTTTCCTTTAAGATTATGGTACAAACTTTAAGTGGGTCATTCCAGCCCCTTATAGTGACTTTCATTCAAAACATTTTTTGCTTTTGGTAAAGGAGATACGGCCAAAGTGTTGTGGAATTGTTTAGCTACTTTTTGGTGATTTGCCCGGAAAGGAACAAAAACATCTTTGAAATAGATTTGAAGAAGACATAATTATTCCAGGGGACAAAATTCGTTTACTTCTCTTTGGGCATCAGTTTCTAAAGTTTTCAAGGATACTTCTTTTTAATTCATTCACTTAGACTAGGAAGCGGTTTTGGGTTAATTTCATACTATTGGCATTGATGTTTGAGTTTTCCATAGCTTTTATGAGTTGGTCAATATATAATGCATAGAGTTTTGTGATCCATCAAAGGAATCTTTAACTTTTGCTAACAATTTATTCACTCTTATAATTATTCTAATGGATGATATTTGTATGTTTCTTCTTAAAAAAAAAAAGAAAATAATAATAATAATAATAGCTTGACACCACTAATTTAGTTATTCATGCAAATTTGTTCAGTGATATCAACTTCTATATATATTAATTACGGTCTCAAACAAAATGAGAACATGAAACTAATCCTTTCATTGACGGGGCAAGTGCACATATAACATTGTCTATTAGAATCAAGTCAACTCACACCCAAGTCCAGCTCATGGCAGCACTCAACACTGCCTTTTCAGGCAATGCCAAGGGGAAACAAGGATGTTCCACAAACCACCAGTTATGAGGCTGCTTCAAGACAAATAGGACCATCTTCCAGGCAAGAGCTTACTTCGTCCATTACAACTAGGTTCAGATCAGATCCATCTCCATGATAATGCAATAACATAGTAAATTATAGATATCCATAACTCTCAATAAATTAATTTTTGCAACCAAGAACGAAGGAATTTAATTAAATAATTAGAGAAAGGCTAAAATAAAGGTGAACCAGCACTTCAAAATTTTCCAAATAAATACATGAATAACCATGTAAAAAGAGAAAACCCCAAACTGATAAAAGACAGCAAACGCAACTTAGATTTCATTACTCCCAATTCCTCCTTCTCAGCTTTCCGGATAAGAAAGTTTTAACAAAATAGTACATCACCAATTGCTAAAGGCAGTAGTGTTTTACCAATTGAAAATACTATTCAACATATAAACCCTCTTTCTGAGCTTTACAAATGCGAAAGTTTTGACAAAATAGTACATCAGCAATTGCTAAAGGCAGTATTTTACCAATTGAAATGACTATTCAGCGTATAAACAAAAAACCAAGTTTGCAAGGTTTTCAATTTAGACAGGTCAACTTTAGCAAGCCCAGATCTATATTTCACTGACTAAGCCAGTCCATTACTAAATTCAGAAAATTCTTGCATAGTGTTTCAAGAAATCTAGGCTTCGTTTGGTTGGATTTTGGGAATACTACTTTTAGTATTCCCAAAAAAGTTAAACAGTAAAATACCCAGAAACTCACAATATTATTCAACTTTATTCAACATTTTTTAAACCCCCTAAATTTGTTAATTCAATTAAATACCCCTAAATATTTTTAATGTTTTTGTTACGGCGACTCCGGCCACCCTCCGGCGGTGGTGGCCGGCTGTCCGTATTTGAGGGTGGATGGGGGGTGTTTTTGTTAACTTTTAATGTTTTATTATAGGGGGTGTTTTGTAAAAAAACAAACATAGGGGGTATTTTATAATTTGTAAATCCTACATCGTAATACCCGCCCAATTCAACTTTTTTTTTAACTTTTTTCAAAAAACTTTTCCCAAAAACACAAAATTGTGAACCAAACGGAGCCCTAGTACTTATAGATGCATTAGGAAAAAAAATTCAAAGTCACTTTTCAAATTGAATATAAAGTTTGCAGGAAAAGAACAGGAAAAAAAAAGAGAAAAAGAAGGAAGAAAACTATCACAACAACTACAACTTCAAAAGAAATTTAAATTTGAAAAAGTAGAATTCAATCTAAATTTAAGCAGATATTTTACCTTCACTGGTAAGTTTTCATTGTATGGGTTCCTCAAATGGCGAGTCTTGTGAAATGATAGTTCACATAACTGCATAAAAGAAATCACAATTTGTATCAAAATGTGCATCTTTACAATCTAAACATAAAACAATTTGCATATATTTAAAATACAGAGCTGGTTTGGTTTGTCCTCAAGAAATTTGAACAGCCAACTTAAATTCTGCATAGCATGTCATGCAAAACTTTAGCACTATGAGTGCAGGAATTGGAGAAGGAGTCATCATCATAAAAAATTTAAACCAAAGTCAACTGATAATAATTTCTTAAATTAGTTCCATCTATCTTCATAATTTCATCTCTTTTCATTCCTCAAACCAAAGGGATGGATTTGCACATTAGATTCTATTGAAATACAATTAGGGCCATACAATGCCCATGGGGAAACCAAATGGGTCAGTACAGATTCCCAAAAACATACCCTGAGAATTACAAAGCAATATTGATCTGTAAATATATTATATATAGAATCAAACTAACATTTTTATCAGATTTCTCTAACTAAACTAAAAACAGTAATAGTAACTAGGTCCTTTCCTACTTCCTCTTTGCTTCTAACACTGATTAAACAATGCACATACCATTCAGAACAGTGCAGAGAGTGTTTCTCAGGATCACGGTGGCATTTGCAGTAGAAGGGATTGAAAACTCAAGAGAGTAATATAAAGCAGAGGGAAGTGAAGAACTCCCAGAAAATTTAGTCAAGTGCCTTTTTATTTATAGGAAAAAGTGGGGAAATGTACCTTTAACCATTTGACAGAGAAATTCCGCCCGTAATGTGCAGTTCCATGTGCATATTTCCAATTCCCTCCACCCACAGACCCACCAATTTTCGATGTCATCTTGGCACAACCCTGAAACCAACAATTATTATGTGTTTTGCACCTCAAACAGCAAAAGAGTTTTTTACCACAAGAGAAACTATTGATACATGATGTTGTAACTCCAAACTACCTGGAAGTGTCGAGTTCGATTGACTGAGAAGATTAAAATCACATTTTCAGCAGTGTCAAAGGCTTCATTTAGTTTAGCTTCATTGCTCCTCTGAGTTGCCCAAACCCCTTGTTGTACAGATAATTCCAGATTTTCACGGTTGCAGCTTTTAACAATAAAGTACCTAAGTCCAGAATTAAATAAATATGCATATTCAATTCATCAAATATCCAACCTAATTGATGAAAAACAATACAATTGGAAGCAAATAAAATAGTATGTAAAAACAATAAAGGGGCATTAGATAGATAATTTACATGCATAAAATTTGAACAAGATTACCAACTAACAAACTGGGACACATATGTCCATCTAGAATAATACCTCCTATCAGCTTGACAAGGTATTAAATTGCTAATAAACCATTTACATACAATTCAAACCCAAATACAAAATACTAAACATAATAGACACCTAACTGGCACGGAATTGACAACATGGTGGAATACAGTTACTAGAAAATGACTAGATGATTGATTACAGCGTTTGATGAATATAAAATTTTGGTAACATAAAAACAGTTACATTAAACAAAAAACTGTCACATTGAGATGGTCATTATAATGACTTCAAAAGCTGGTCCCTATTGATGACTATGCTCACATGTACACCAGGACAAAGGCAGCCTTCCCCTCAAACCCACATTCACAAATATCAATTACATCAATTACATGTTCCATACTCATGTTTCTTGCGCTTAGCATTTACAGCATTACAAAACTTTCAAGTAACACTTCCCGACTCCTCCACATTGCACTTATCCTTCCATTCTTTACCCCAATGAAAATCATTGAACCTGGGTTGCACCACTTGGGCAATCACACAATGACATGGCTTGCCACACAACAAACAGATCTCTTCCTATGGTCCAACAGCTGTCATAGCATTTACTCTGCAACTTTGCCTCCTTGGCACCAACCATGGCGAGCAATTCCATCTAACTTGACCCTATCATCCCCATCTCCGGCTGTGGAACAAATCAAACTAGTCAACAGTTCAACTGGTTTTCTATGGTGCTTGTTTAGAATTGCTTGATAATCAAACAAATGAAGCTCAGACATAAATTCAAACTTGGCTTCTTCAATGAAGCAACCTTAAACAATCCCAAGATTGGTCCAACATGGTCATCAACCACCCATGGGAAAGAGTAACATTTTTTGTTGTTACTAATTGCTATTTAAAAAAACAGTATATAAAGAAATATTGTAACCAATATGCAAGTCTGATTCCATAAATTCAACCAACAGAAAAAAATAATTGTTCACCTGCAATAGAAATTACATTGTAGGAATATAAACCAAAGCAGCTCCTAGCTAGATCTTAACAATTGCTTAAGTGGACAAACTTCCTATATGTATTTTTGATAATTCAATGTTATTATCATTATTGTTTTCTTTTGGGAAAAGCAAGTAATATCTCATTTAGAGAAGAGAATGGGAAATCCAACATGAGACAATATTTCTGACAAGAATGCTTTTAAGAATTAACAAGCTAACATCAAAATTTACTTAGCTAGTATTGAGCTTCAGTTCATTTAAAAAAGCTTGAAGAGACAAAGTTATTCATTGAATTCAACAAGGTATCCCTACTCCCTAACTTTATCACAAGAAATCTAAACAGTAGAAACTTACAAATAAATCACTATAAAAACTGTGATAGTCATTTCATCCAGCAAGCTCCTTCACTACAAAACAAGTTCAGCCCATAATTGGAGCACTTCCACAAAATAAAAAAAAATTATTCCAATATACTAGAGGCATACAATATATGAATAAATATGTCTTCTATAAACTCTTAGAAGGTCCTCTATATCCATCTTCATTCTGGCTGAGTAATCTGAATTACTTAGCATAGAATGATATATCTCCATAAGGCAATAATGCACACTCAAATGTCAAAGACAGTTACTTAGATGAGTATTAGTATCACAAGCTTCCTTGGTAAGAACCACTTTGTAAGAATTGCACACCTAAGAAATTCTTAATCCATCCTTTCTTTCTTCTATATGAACCCATAATGCCTTCTGCATTGATAATAATCACCAGTAAAGCATACTAAATGTTAGCCACCCTTGAATTTGAGAACCTTGCAAAACTGGCCATAAAAGGCTTTACCTTCAGCATTTTCGGGGAAAAAAGGTTCCAATCATTTGCTTTCAATTGCTAAATCATATTAGGGTGTCAACCCTGCTACGCTTTGGGAGACTGGTCACTATGCAATGGGAAAACCTGCTTTATAGATGTCCTAGATACTTTTTACCTTTCTCTTATAAATTAGCTGAGATACATCATCCAAATATAAAATTCATAGTAGGTATCAATCCACAGATTAGTACAAACAAGAATCTCTGATAGAAAATCTTCCAATCTAAGAAATATCCAAAATCTCCCTCGTGTTTGTATGCACTCCAGAAAATCTTAAATGTGGTATCAAGTTGTCTTACGCAGTTTCCTACATGACCTTTAATTCTTGCCTATCATTTACCTACTACGTATAAACTCTCACATCACAAAATCTCATGAAATTAGGCTTTAAGACGAAGTGACTAATTTCCAAAGTGTAGTTATGTATCCATACCTTTATATAATAAGATAATCCTAGTTCTCCCTAAGCAAACTATCACTGAATTGAAAACATTCATCAATATCTAGAAGCTACTTCCACTGCAAAATCCACTAGGATTCCTAATTCCGTAACCATCTCTAGTGGAAAATTAAAACAAGCATGAATGAGCTAGAAGCCACTCATGCATCAATATTATAAGGTAGTAAAACACCTGAACCAGAATGCAGTGCACATCAAGATAAATCCACAACTCTCCTAAAAAACGACCAGTGATATTCACAGGTAAACCTGAAAAAAAAAAAAAAAAAAAAAATCTCATTATTACAAGGGGAACACTATTGCCTTTTGATCCCCTCCATACACCCTTTATTCCCAAGGCAACCAACATCCTTAATATCATTAGTAGCTTCAACTTGAGGTCTAATAGTAGTTTGCTAAAACAGAAAATCTTATCTCTATAACAAGAAGTGAATCACCAATTTCTGCTCACTTTTTGAAAGACTAAGACCCATTCTGTATTAATATGAAATATTCATTGCAAGGGGTCCACTCCCTTCCCCACAAATGGGCACATTTGCATACATGCATCTATTTAAATAACATGGAAACATGAAGGAAGGTATGAAACGCAATTAACCACAATAATCAATGCATAAACTAGCTCATAATCCTAAATTTCTAGCAAATGAAATTAATTAGAATATAAAATTTGTAAAATCAAATTATTAAAGAATGATGACCATGCATAAACACACAGAAAAGAAGAAAAGTAGATTAGGGTCATAAGATAGCAATACCATCATCCTATCAAGAAAAGAAAAAAAAGAATAGAAATTTCCATCTTGGCAGTAAACTTTTGGAAATGAAAAAAATCTGAAATTTTTTGTTGACAAATGCAGAACAAAAGCTCTTGCTAACTAAAATACCATCTTAAGAAAGTAATATAGAAATTAGAAATTATCCTTTTCCAATAATTATTTCATTTAAAGTTTCCAAAAAATTAAGTTTCCAAACATCTTATTTTGATGAGATAAAAGAGCAAGCACCACAAAAAGATGCTATTCTATTCAGTCAGAAAATTACTTAGGTTGGTAACATTAACATGAGAATGGTACAATTTCTCCATTTTCTTAATGGATGCCCCATGTGTACATGAAGTAAAACAGACATCCAGATGAGGAAGAGCAAACTTATACATCAAATGATGAAATTAAGAATCTATGGCATAAAACACGCTACAGAATTTCATTAACTAAGAAATCTTATTCCTTTTGGTTATAGCAAACAAATATAAAAGGCGAAAAAGGGATAAAAATCTAATGTCAACCTGTAGGAAGCTAATTACAGCTTATAGATTAAAATAGAATTCATTTGAGAGATTATCAGTTGATTTATGGATTCCTTGCAACAATGTCCAAATGAAATACAAAAATTCATTTACATAACCCAGTTATAGACCTCAGAACTCTGAACACACCTAGATATTCCTTGGGGCAAGGGTGTAGCTCTGTTTGCCTGATTAGGTATGCTATTGGGAAGGTTTTGCATCTGGGTCAGGGTACCCTGTTGTTGGGGTTGTTGAACTTGCTGCTGCTGCTGCTGAACATTAGTCGACTCCACTATCGAAGGTCTCCCCGTGGCACCTTGAATGACGGAATGGGAACCCTGTGGAAACTGAGATTTTTCTGTTTGTTGGGGAAAAGAATTCCGTTGTTGAAAAAATTTGTTTGAGTTGCCATGATTGTATGAACTTAATTGCTGAATCTTCTGAAGGACTTCTTCCACAGAAGGAGGTGGTCCAGGCAACTTCACATGCCTATAGCGACAATCAGGACCATTTGGACAAAACCCCAGCTTGTACCTGCAACGTTAAATTCTCCCAATTAAAAGAAATAAAAATAATTGCTAAAAGGAAAGCACAAATTTACAACTCCTATTTATGTTACGATGCTTTCCATTACACCAACTTCAGACTTCAAAATACTCTCTCTTAACTTAATAAGATCCAATTTCGCAAGATAAGCTTTAAAGAAATGTCTGTATACCCATTAGAAGACACACTCTGCAACAAATAGCACAAGCACAAAAATAAACTGAGAAGCCACCTATATAGTCAGTTCATTGATTGATAGTCATCAAAGTCAATTCAGATGGCAAAGCATTAGAAAGTAAAAATCACAGCCGTAATCATAAACAATAAACAATAAAAATTATAATGTAAAGCTACGATCTTTGCCAACCCCAAAAAAGATAAAATTTCATTCAACTCCCTCAAAGCTTAGCCTAATTAAAAGCTACCATTAATAGATGATTCTCATAAATTTTATGAAAATTTAGCATGGTTAATAAAATTCCAACAGAAAATTTCAAGCCAACATAACCTCAGAAGATTGAACATAATAAAAAACAAACTATTCATTAAATAAAAGAAAAGGTTAATTCTTCCATACATGTTACACTCTTTGATATCTTCGTTAGTGTGTTTATACACGCAATCTTGTTCACGGCACTCTCCAAACATTCTAAAGAACCGACAAACCGGCATTCTAGACTTGTCATACTGGTGAAGGAACCCACAGGCGTCACCCTTCATACAAAGGCTACGTAGCCAGTGCCGGCACACCGTCTGCCGGAAACTCCTCCGCCCAGTATGGTTAACCCCCGCCGCAACAGGATCAGCCGTGGTAGCTCCGCCAGCAGAAGGAACGGATGAATTGGGGTTTGCTATGAGGGAGGAATCAGCTTGTATGACGGGATTGGAGGCGGTGGGGACGGCGGGACCCGCGTCGAGACCGCCCTCGAAGTCGAAGCTGAGACCCCCTTCTGTGTCCTCCATTGATTGTGTAGGTATAGAAATTTGTGTTACGATTTCTAATTAGGGCTTCTGGGAATCATTTAAACGGGAATTAGAAGATGAAGAAATTAGTGCTTTTAAGAGAGTTTAGAGCATATGTGGTGATTGAATCTTGCTATAAGGTAATCAGGTATCTTAACTAATTATAAAGGGCACAGTGACTGACAACCCCCTTAGGTTTACCGTATTAAATGAGCCCCCTGGGGTATCAGGAATAACCCTAGACCCCTCATCATTACTAAACGTTATAAAATCTTTGACAAAGGTAAGAAATACCCGTATATATTGTAAAATGTTCTTCCACCGCCTTAGCTTTGAGGGGAAGGAATACGCCTTCTCTCTTTTATATTTTTAGTTCATAGTCATTTGAGAAAAGCAAAGAAATATACAGCCCCCTTTCATCTTTATTTTCTTCATATTTAGTCCTTCTAGTCTATTACACTTGCACCACTAAAATTAAAACATACTATCAACACAAAGAGCTTAACAAGTGTAACAGTGCACCCATATTGAAATTCTCGGAAATGTCGAACCTTGTGAAGCTCCAGTATGAGGCCTTGAGACTAGATGGAAAAAACTATGATGAATGCCCTCAAGACTACTCTCCATCTAGAATCTATGAAACTAGGTGAAGTCATTAAGGAAGGAAACATGGCGTCCCTGCAGAACAAATCAAAGACTATTCCTTTGGCATCATATCCAAGAAGGGTTGTGGGCGGAGTATAAGGATATAAAATATCCACTCCAAATGTGGACTAATTTGAAGGAGAGATTTGAACATAACAAATCAGTAATACTCCCGATAGCTCAATATGACTTGACTCATTTACGTCTACAGGACTATAAATCTGCTAGTGAATATAATTCTATTTTATTTGGGGTTGTCTCTAAATTAAGATTATGTGAAGAGAAAATAACTGAAGAAAATATGTTGGAAAAACCATTCTCCACTTTCCACCCCTTCATGCTCCTGCAGCAGCAATATAGGGAGTGTAACTTTAAGAAATATTATGAATTAATTTCTTGTTTACTTGTAGCTGAGCAAAATAATGAACTGTTGCTAAGTAACCATTTAAGACTCGCCCCACTGGTTCCAATTGTTCCTGAAGTTAACGCAACGACTAGCAGTAATAATCGTGAGCGTGGCGAGGTCTAGGTCGAGGCCATGGGCGAAACAATTCTCGACCAGAGGTGGTCATAACATGAAATTTACCACCCGAAGTGAAGCAAGACTGAATCAAAAAAATGAAAGAAACCACTCACAAAACAAGGATGATGAAAAAAAGTGCTATAGATGTGGAGGAAATGGCCACTGGTCACGTACCTACCGTATGCACAGCACTTGGTGGAATTGTTCAAGCATCGATTAAGAACAAAAAGATAAAGACAATCACACTGATGCCTCTGAGTCAAACATATTATAATTCTGATCCGACTGGCCTTAATGTCTCATATTACTTTGGAGATGCCAATATGGAATAATATTGTGTAGTTATGAAAATGCCTGTGATTTCCAGGATTTATGAACTTTGTTATGTTTTTAAACTATGTATTTTTTATGAATATTTTTGTCTTGTTTATACCTCTTTAAGTTTGAAACATCCTCACTAATGTAAATTTTTTTTTTCTTTAAGGATGAACTTAAAAAATGAAACATCGATATCTAGTAATGATAGAGACATTTGTTAGTAGACAGTGTAATGACACACACCATCCTTCGGGATAGAAAATATTTTTCAGATTTGACATTTATTGAAGCTAAAGTAAATAATATCAGGGTTTGAAACATAATTGAGGGCTCTAGAAGAGCAACACTCTTGTTACCAAGCATAACTAATTAAGTATCCGTGATGCTTTATATTCTAGCAAATCTAAAAGAAATTTGTTAGTTTCAAAGTTATATGACTCAATGGATACTACATTGAAACTTTAAGTGAAAAGGATGGAAGAGTTTCTATGCATCATTGGTAATATTTCATGCTAGAAGCATGTACTGGAGAAACTCCCTGCTTTCTCATCAAGGTTATACTGTACATTCTTGAAGAATGTTGATTCTATGCAGTTATGAACCAAAATTCATTAATCCTAAACTTTTTAAGATTTGGCATGACCGTCTTTGCACTTAGGATCCACTATGATGGTAGAATCATAGAAAACTCACATGGGCACCCATTAAAGAACCTGAAGATTCTATACCTATGAGAGTGCTTGTATTGCTTGCTCATAAGGCAAAATGGCACTTAAGCCATCCATCACTAAAGTGTTAGTGTATACCCTAGGAACCAATCGTGTCGTCGGCCCAAGGCATTATGTTTGTTATATATGTTAATGTATATATTTTGTATATACATTTTATCTTATCAATAGAAGAAAGTGTTCTTATTTCACATGTGGTTTATTGCTTCATTTAATATATGTATTACATGTGAAATGTCGGATGATACAAATCTTTAGAGATCAAAATCATCAAAGTATTCGTACATAGGTAATATTAATTGGGCAATAATTTACATAGTGGCAGTTGAAGCCTCCGTAGAATATCATGTGATGGTATTAGTGTGGGTGATTATAAAAGTTATATCACTAGGACATAACATGGATAAGCGGTTAGCGAATTGTTTATCGAATATGACCATTTATGATGAATCACATGGATATTTAAAATGTAGTCAAAGATCATACTAGTGTATTATTAATCCTTAGACGAGAATCACAGTTGGATTATATAAACACATATGGTTCATTGGTGTATAAACACGAGGCTAATCTGTCATGTGTAATAAGCGATTTGGCCATGTGTTGTTATGTGTGAGGACAAGTGATAGTCCAGATGGATTCATTGACTGGTATAAATTGATATCAAGTTCTTAGACAAATGTCAAGATACATGTGGAAAGGAAAATCTCCGGCCGAGATAATAAAATGTTACTTGAAAGGTTGTTTCATGGTGACACGTTCCATATGTATTGATTGTCAATTTGATATAAAATTAAGATAAGGATTTTGACATACCATGAATCCATGCTTAATTGGGATTAGACAACGGAAGGATTTGATTATATAGCGCGTATGATTAAAAAAGGGTTCATTGGAGTATATCTTATTGTGACTTAAGGGTTATGGATCATTGCTAGATGCCTACCATAACGGTAGGAGTTTTTGTCATAAAGATTTATACAAAACATATCAAAATAGACTATGATATTGGGCCCACGGCTAGGCCACAGTGAACCTAAGGGTCACAAATAAAACTAAGAAGAATGGAGAATGGAGAAATAGCCAAGAGAGTTGATTATCCAAGGTTGGCTAGCACCTACCAAGGGTAATAAAGTTATTTATTATTATCATTGATTAGATAATGAAGGGTTATATTAGTTATTATGAATAATTTAAGAGTTAAATTGCTAATGGAATTAAATAGAATTCCAATTCATAATTAATCATTTTCTTATATTAAATTGGATTTAATAAGGGTTGTAATTGTAAACATATGAACAATTTGAGGGTTAAATTGTATGTAAACAATTTAGAGTTAAATTGTTAATTGTGATTAAATGTTAATCCAATGTTATTATTTAAAGAAGTTAACAACTTCATAATAATTATGGAATTATTTACAACTCCAAAAACAATTATAGAATTGTTTAAGGAAGTCCAAACAACTATTGATGTTTACAAGCTACATATATAAAGAAAATGATATATCAATTTTAGGATAGAGATCAAATTTCTAAGAACCCTAAATGTCTTGCTGGCCTAATTCTCTTTACCTTAGTGTGGATACTCTTTTGTTTAATTGCTTTAAATAAAAAGTCTCCAAGGTTGCTAAGGACTTGAGGGAACAAGTTATACCTACTGTTTCAATTTGATTGATTTTTTTTTTTTTTGTAAAATATGAATAACATGTTATAATAACAGCATCATTCTCATGTATTCCATCTTTCATAAAGTTGGTCTAGAACCCCATCATTACAAAGAATTCATGGAGATATATGTGGACTTATTCATCCACCAAGTGGATTTCCGCTATATGGTACTGATTCACGCAGCAGCAACGATGGTCACATGTTTGTGCATATCAACCCGTAATATGCCTTTACTAGATTGTTGGCACAATTATCAGATTACGGGCACACTTTCCAGATACCCAATTAAAGCAATACTTAGACATGCTAAGAGTTTACCTCAAAGACATTTGAGATTATTGTAAAGCTATGGGAATTGATGTTGAGCATCCAGTACCAATGTCCATACTCAAAATGGTATGGCAGAGTTTTATAAAGCATATCAATTAATTGCATGAACTTTGCTACATACACATTACCGACTTCTGCTGGGCTCATACGGTTTACATGTTAAAACCACTGCATATCATCATACTCTCCAATACAGCTTGTATTTGGACATCAACCTAATATATCCCATTTAAGAACTTTGGTTGTGCTATGCAAGTTCCAATGCACCCCTTCAACGCACCAAAATGGGACCCAACGTTGTTTAGGAATATATGTTGGCATGACTCACCATCATTAATAGATATGAGCCCTTGATGGGTGATTGTTTACCGCACGTTTTGCGGATTGCCATTTTGATGAGACAATATTTTCTCTTTTAGGGGAAAAGTAAAGTCTCCTAAAGTAAGGCTTAAATTTCTCGGAAAGTAAACTCTATGTCTCATTTAGATCCTCGCACATCTCAATCTAAAATTGAAGTGCAAAGAATAACTCATTTGCAAAATATTGCCAAACAAATGTCTGATGCATTTAAAGATGTAGCAAAAATAACGAGTCATACATTCCTGTTGTTAGTATAGCAAGGATTGATGTTACCAATGAACAATCCATAGGGGTAGCGATCAATTCATCTGTTATACGCTAGAAGCATGGCAGACCGATTGGAGCCAAGGATACTATTCCTAGGAAACGAAAGGCACATAATCAAATAGGTGCCATTGGAACAATTGATGATTTCACACCTTCTAAACCAACTCCAAAAGAGTTAACAATCCTTGAAAGGACAAGCCCTAAAGAGGAAGAAATCCCTAAAGGAATACAAGAACATAGAAATGAAGAAATTTCCATAAACTATCCTCACTTTAGAGAAATGTGGAATTGTGAGACAACTATGTCGATAACATATTTTCTGTTTGTTGATGAATATTGACAAAGACATAATTGGCCAAAATGGGAAGAGGCAATTCAAGCAAAATTAACCTTTCTGGCAAAAAGTAATGTATTTGAACCTGTAGTCCAAACACCTGAAAACGTGAAACCATAGGATACAAGCAGGTATTCACAAGGAAACGAAATGAGAAAATGAGATTGCTAGTTAAGACCAGATTAGTGGCTCACGGTTTCCTGTAGAGACTCAGAATTGACTTTGATGAGACGTATTCACCAGTGATGGATGCTATCACATTTCGATACTTGATTAGTTTATCGGTCTTAGAAGGACTTGATATGTGTCTCATAGACGTTGTCACTACGTATTCGTATGGTACCACTGGATACTGATATCTATATAAAAATCCCTGAAGGATTCAAAGTGCCAGAAGCAAATAAAAGGAACATTGTATTCAATAAAATTGCAAAGATCATTATATGGGTTGAAACAATCAGGACGAATGTGGTATAATCAGTGAGTATCTGGTGAAGGAAGGATTCATCAATGATCTTGTATGCCCGTGTGTCTTTATGAAAAGGTCAGAATTAGGATTTGCAATTGTGGCAGTATATATCGATGACATGAACTTAATATGGACTCTTGAAGAGCTCACAAAAGATACTGAGTACTTAAAAAGAGAATTTGAAATGAAGGGCCTGGGGAAAACAAAGTATTGTCTCGGCCTGCAGATCGAGCATCATTCAAATGGAGTTTTGCTCCATCAATCAAATTATACTGAAAAGATCCTTAAGCGATTTTATATGGATAAATCTCACCCCTTGAGTACCCCAATGGTAGTTCAGTCTCTTGATCATAAAAAGGATCTATTTCGTCCTAAAGAAAACAACAAAAAGATACTTGGTCCTGAAGTACCATATCTAAATGCAATATGTGCATTATTACATTTGACACTATATACGAGACCAGGCATAGCATTTGTAGTGAATCTGTTGGCAAGATTTAGCTTTACACCAACTCACCGACATTGAAATAGGATCAAACATTTCTTTCATTACCTCAGTGGAACAAAAGACTTGGGATTATTTTATCCAATGAAATTTGTTAATGATCCTAAATTAGTTGGCTATACAGATGCTAGGTACCTTTCTGATCCTCATAAAACCCGCTCGTAGACGGGATATGTATTCACCTACAATAGTACTGCAATATCATTGTGCTCTATAAAACAAATATTGTTTGCCACTTTCTTCAAGCACTCCAAGATTCTTGCGCTTCATGACGCCAATCGAGAATGCGTATGGTTAAGATCTGTTGTCCATCATATTGAAAGTACATGCAAATTGCCACGTACCTTAGATGCTCCCACAGTTATAAATGAAGACAATGCAACATGTATTGCTCAAGTCAGGGGAGGATATATCAAAGGAGATAGAACCAAGCATATTTCACCAAAGTTCTTTTACACTCACGAACTCCAACAAAATCGAGAGATTGATGTCAAACAAATATGCTCAAGTGATAATCTTGCAGATTTATTCACTAAGGCCTTACTGACATCAACATTTGAAAAGTTAGTGTATAACATCGATATGCAACGGTTCAATAAGTTACTAAATTAATTCTACCATTATGAGGGGGAGCATTGACCAAGAGGAGCACCAATTGGGGGGAGTTTTTTTTTAGAAAAGTTTATTGTACTGGACATATGTGCATTGTACTCTTTTTTCCTTGATCAGGTTTTGTCTCACTAGGTTTTCTTGACTAGGTTTTTAATGAGATTATATGAAGCACGTCCAATTTCATGTTACAGTAGAGTTGTATTTCTTTACTTAAGTTTTTCTTTCCCACTGGGTTTTTCTTTAGTAAGGTTAAATAAAATTATCTGTAAGCAGTGGATGTCCAAGGGGGAGTGTTGTAAAATGTCCATCCACCGCCTTAGCTTTGAGGCGGTGAGTGGAGGAGGTGGGTGTTGGCTATAAATAAACACCACAAACCACCGCGCAACCACACCCCCCACACCCCCCCCATCCCCCGGAACCCCCCTCCCCCTCTTTTGCATTTACTTCATAGTCATTTGAGAAATGCAAAGAAATACACAATCCACTTTCATCTTTATTTTCTTCATATTTAGCCCTTCTAGTCAATTTCAATTACACCACTAAAATTACAACAGTATTGGCATTATCCTTTTGAACTTTTTTTATTTAATATTAAATATTTTTTATTTAATCACCCATTGTACTTAATCTACACTAATAGATAAAAATTTATTTAAAATAATATTAATTAAAGTAAAATCTTAAGTAAAATAAAATTTTAGATGCCTAGTCAATTGCGGGCCTTGGCTAGGTGTAACCGTGTAGAGGTGTTAGCTCGAGCGGCTCGCCAACTGAGTCAAATCGAGTTCAAGCTCCGCGATACTTGACTTGACCAGCTCACAAGCTTTAGCGAGCTTGAATCACAAAAGGGGATATATGCTAGTTTTACAATTATTGGGGTTATATGTGATTTACCAGTTTGTAAAAATGACAAACACACCCCATATTTGATATTCCCCTCTCCCTACCATCCGAACACACAACAATCCCTAATTTGAAAAACTTCAATCTCGAAACGCACCAAACCAATCAAAATGATGCTACCACCACCAACCGTCATCACCCTTCTTTCCCCCACCACCACGACCTCTGTCCTAGGCCTTTCCATGCTCGCTGTTATAAACGGCGGCTCCATTGCTACACTGGCTATCGTGCTTTCCCTCGTGAACCCAAAGTGTCGACACCAACTTCAGGCCGAGGAAGTTTGTCGATTCTAATGGTTGAAAAAGAGTCTTTAAAAAGAGTAACAATTTGTGATGCCAGGTGTGGGCCTAGGAGTTTGTCAATTTCGTTGGCCAAACAAGAGGCGACTATTTCGACTAGCGAAATCTCAGCGGTTATGGTCGTTAAAGCTAAGAAACTGGTGAGACGACTGGTCATTTTTAAACTTTATGATGTTTTGGTTTCGATTTGCTAGAGATGTGCTTGGGCTCGCACCTGCTCGAGCGACACCTTCTTAAGCTTTGGCCAAGCTCAAGCTCGAGCCTGATGCTGTAGCAGCCGAGCCAAGCTCAAATAGCCCAAAGCTCGGCGACTTGATTACACACCTAGTTGCCACTTGGGCCAGATGGCAACCTCCTTCCTCTTATGGTCTTTACTAACCTAGGTCCTTCCTTGGCTCGACAAACCCACCCCCTACCAAGCTACCCTACCGTGACAATCTCCCCTAACTTTAGTGGCCTCGCAAACTCCACTAGGAAACCTAGCAAATAAGCAACTCCAATCCATCAAAAAATCTACACCTGCCACACCCAAAAAGGAAAAAAAAAAAAACCCACAAATACCATCACTGAATTTGTTGATTTTACTCTAACAATTTTATATACTTTTAGGGGTGTTCACGAGTTGAGCCAGCTGAGTTTTCACTTAACGAGCTCGACTCATGAAATGGATAAAGAATCGAGCTGAGCTTGAGTTGAGTCGAGCCAAGCCGCAGATTTTATGGCTCGACTCGACTCGCTCGAATGGATTTAAAGGTATTTCGAGCAAAGTTCGAGCCGACTCTCCAAAAAATTCAATTTAAAAAAAAAAAAAAATATGGGCAGCCCGCCTGATGCTTTTTGTTCACGAATCAAATTGTGTTTTTTTCTTAAATGAATCTGAGCAGCCCATTAATACTGCAAAGTTCTATAAGTCTTACACGAGCTCCACATTTCAAATACAAATTACTTCTTTTTGTAAGTTTCATGTTGCTCTTTAAAATCAATATCCACCAATACAGTATATTCACCCTAAAAGTAAAGTACTAAACATCCTTCCAGTGTGCACGCCAACCTTGCATGGACGACACCCCATATCGAGGACTCTCATTTTCACCATCCTCAGACAACCTCAGTCCCACAATTGCAATTTTTTTCTTCTTATGTCCTCATACATCACCCAACAATTAAACCTACTTAAAATAAACATAAATGAAATGCTACTGCTATTAACATTTATCATTCAACATACTGTATGTGCCAACAATAAGTTAAGTGACTAAAGGTTTTTTGTTTAGTTCACTTGACTTAATTAAGTTTTCATCAAAATAAAATGGGGGGTTAGCATAACTATACATCAAGTGAACTCCCCAACCATCAAAATATATATACAGCAAATAAAATATATAAATTGTTGAATGACTGGAATCCTCAAAGATAATTGGCTATAGTCCATTGTAGCCCCACTCCTCCTACAACAAATAATGTGAAACACATTAAGTACAATTGTCATTTTATATAACCGTAAAGATGAAATGCAAACCTGAACACAAAAATAATATATACCTGTAGAATCCTACTCCATAGCCAATAACTCACGGGTGAATCAACCAATCTCTGACTCCTATCACCTGATAGGACATGAAGCTGAATCTCCAAGTAATCCTCCTTTTCTAAAATGAAAAAGAGATAAAAAAATTGTAGGTTAAATAAAGTAATTAAATATTGATTAAACAAAGAATGTAATCAATGGAACTACTTTGCACCCTTTCTTCACTCCATTCAAAGTGCGACACACGTCACATCCACATAACGACATCTCCACGTAGTTGGTGACAAGAAGCTCGGTAGCTATCAATAACCCTACCCCGGCACTGAATCAGACTCTGAAGCAACCGTATTGATCGGAATGGCTAGTATCTCGGGCCATCGAGACAATATAGGTACTTGGTTGAATTTGCCTTCCACCACTGTAGGAATGAATGAGTCATGATCCCCCACACACTTATGACATCCTCTCCTAATACGTCCAACTCAGACTTACTAGGCTCAATAGTTTCAACCACATCAGAAAATTGCTAAAATCAACCCAGCCTCCTCCCTTAACCGTAGTGGCATGCTGTCGTAGCACCCAATTAAAACCTTCCGACCAACTACTGAACTGTAAATAGGGTAAGCAAGGGTCGATCCCACAGAGTGTCTAGCCGAATTTTCTTTGATGTGAAAGGCTGGGGGGGTTTGTGTAAAACAGAAAACAATCTCAGCAAAACAAAAACATTAATTCGAATTCATCAAAATGACGAACTTGATCTCTGTCAACATCCACCTCGAAATCTCCTACTGATCATTATGCAAAGATAATCAATTCAAACATTGAATATTCCCCATTGGAACTAATTTCCTATCTCTCCTTAATTGTAATTAATCAGGAAAAAAGCGATCCTAATTAATCTTACCCCTAAACAACCCTAGACAAGCGCTCAGATTTAATCTAGTGCAGCCTTAAGAATTAGAGAGATCGATGAAGCTAAACAACACAAACACAAGCGGTTGTATTAATTTAGTTGAATGTTCTTCGTAAGGTTACTATTCCTGACCAACAATTATTAACCCTAATTGCTTCACAAGTTGGAGGGATCAACAATTACGTATTGATATCAAACTTAGCAGTAGATTTCAACAATAATCACCTAGTAGGCCTCCTAGTAATTAAATGCATCATCATGAAATATGCACAGAATAACATTCAATACTCAACATGATTTAACACTAAAACAGAAAGATCTCACAGTTTATTTGATTTCGAGGTTTCCGTTTCCTTCGACCAAGTACAAAAGTTCTAGCCACTCATGGCCATCACAAAAAACTCAAGAGAAAGAAAATTCCAGAGAGGAAAAGAGGAGAGGCGTGGTGCCTTCAAACCTAATCTGATCTCCCTTTTAAAATCCAATTTTGAATTCGAATCCCACTCAATCTCCTAAAGAAATATTCTCCTGTCCTAAAATAACATTAATCCTAATTTATTCTAATTGGAAATAAAATAAAATAGAGTCCTAATAAAATAGGAAAGTGGTGTTTCCAGCTGTAATTTTCTGGCAGCATGTATGTCTCAAAACGTGCAATAATAGACTGACTTGCATAACAAGTCAGAACGCTCCAGGACTCGGCAATGCGGTGCGTCAACTTCAGCTCGATTACAACCTTTATTCAGTCAGTATCTCTAAAACTCAAAACATAAAAGTTGTAGATCTCTTTCGTATCGTTCCACAGCATTTTGAATCATCTCAATCGGAGCTCGGTGAGAGAATTATGCCCAGAACGAAGCAGTGGGAAAACTGTCCGAATTCCCCTAATTAATTCCGTTTTTCAATTAACACCTCCATTTGCTTCCTAAACCAAAATAAAGTAATAATGAGTACAATTAGGAAACAAATACATATAAAAGACTAAACATTAAGGGGGTTAAATATGACATTTTGCATTCCCATCACGTAGCCACCTCACCAATGGCTTCATGTCCATGCCCTTCTGATGTAGAAGCACGGGCGATAGTCACACCTTGATTAGCTTGAACATATTCCCCATATAACTCATACAATGCATCCCAGAGGTCATCATATTTGCCCGTGCTTCTGCCTCAGAATACATCTTAGGGAATGCCCACTAAATAACCCTAATTTTCAACCAAGGATCCAATACAACAGCCACAAACATCAACACATTACATTTCCCCCAATATTTATCAAACTTCTCTTTCATTTTCCTAACCATTACTCTAATAAAATCATCTTCAGATTCACTTTTACTATCCAATATACATCTCACTACACACACCTCCTTCAAGAATAAATTAGACGTCGGATAATTACTTCTTGAAATGAGTTTGGTTGAACCATTGGATACTTTTAAAATGTCGTAGACTTTCTCCACTTTCTCCCAATCCTCGTCACTCGGATTATTATGATAATTGATATCTCTCTCTTTCAATCTTGGAAAAACCTTTTTGAACCTAATTGCCGTTGCCAATATTTCATAGGTAGAATTCCACCTTATTTTACAATGGAGAATAAGTTTCTGATACGGCAATTTAAGTTGTTGAACAATCTCAAAAAATACTTTAAGCCTACTTTCTGAACTGTTGATATACAACACACTCTCATGAATGTCGTCAATGATGTGCCTAATTTGATAAAGTCCATCTTGAACAATCAGGTTCAAGATGTGTGCACAACATCTTACATGAAACAATTTACCTCTACAAAGGAGTTTCCCCGAAACTTCAAAATTTTCCTTCAAAACCTTAATCGTAACATCATTACTTGAAGCATTATCCACAGAAATAGTATATACCTTATTTTTAATTCCCCATCCCATTAGGCACTTGAAAATGTCATCTGCAATCGCAATACCAGTCCAGGGAGGAGGTAGAAGAACAAAGTTGAGGATACATCTATGCAGCCTCCAAGTACTATCTATCCAATACCCGATCAACACCATATACTCCATCTTTTGATTCCCTGAATTCCATAAGTCTGTAGTCAAACTGATTTTTGTCACACTCTTGAACAAAGTCTTCAATTTGGCCTTCTCACTTTCATACCTTCATACAATTTTTTTTACAAGTATGGCGGGAAACCAGAGTCCATTCAGGAATCCTATACTTCATCATATTGTTCAAGCCCTCTTCCTCCACAACTGTAAATGGATGCTCATGCATGAGCACCCAATGGGCGATCAGTTCCTTCATTTTCAACATGTCAAACTTCCCACTTAATGCTAGCAAAATAGTAGTTGCAACATCATTACCGACACTCGGAAAACTAACATGTTGTTGCCTCATGGAAGCTTTTCTCCTTAAACACCATCTTAAATGTCTATTAAACTAGGCGGTGTTTCTGGTGGCATTAATACACACAAATTTACTTTGCAATAGATACACTATACATTTTTGGTACCATTAAAGAGTACCACCTCTTTAAAATCCATCCATACCATTGATGTCTTCGCTCTTTTTTTCTTCTAAATTGGATTTTCATTCTCATCACCATTATCCGGGCTACTAATACTTTGCTCCATATTTGTTGTGGTTGCATTCAAGTTAAGGTTACCGCTAGGTGTATTGGTAATTGTATCTTGTATTATAGGGATGCTTGAGGAATTACCCTCCATTTACAAACCTATAAATGAAAAAAAAAAAAAAAATCAGCAATTTCATGCAAAACTAATATGAAATAATGTCAAATTATTACATTGCACACACATCAAACCAATACATTATACATTGCACATCAAATGTTACATACTGGATACTACATCTAATTTTGTCAATTTGAACCAATATTAATTGTCACCAATACATCCTGACATTCATTTATTCTTTAATTAGAGATGTTGGTTGAAGAATTAGATGCTTTATTTATTCATTCAAACCCATTTATTCTTTAAATGACTTTGTAGAATTATTTGTCTTATGCCTATTTATTCTACTACATAAATCATAATGTCTTTAATACCAAATTAAAGATTCCTTCAAAACAAGCAAATCCCCTACTGGCTAGTGCAAGAGATTTCAATTATGAAGACTCTTTACTGCCCTTTACCCTTTTGCAATTTAATATATAACAAAACCCCTAGTCCCCACCACCAAATGCACAACCACAACCACAAACAACTTTATAAATTGCACTTCTGCTATTTACTGTAAAACAAATCCCCACAAGTACAAGTACAAGTCCACAACACAACCACAACCACAACCACAAACACAAACAAATTAACAAATTCAGTAAAGCAATTTAAACAAACAATGAAACAAACTGGCCTACAGGCTACAGCAGACTGCTCTTCACAGACAGTACACAAACGGTTCTTGTATGAGTTTCACAGCAACACCACGATGGTCAACGACCACAACAGGACCCTAATACAAGATTCCTTGAATTGTTTCACTAAAAAAATCCCCCTATTACAGACAAACAATTCACGAAAATGAATATGTTGATTTATCAAGCCAAAAAGTATGTTTTATATTGCCAGATTTATGTAGTCTACAAACTGTAATTCCATATCTATTGCCCTAATCATTTCTCACTATCAATAAACAACTTGAATGAAATTAACATAAAAAGACGCTTTTCAAGAAATCATACTTGTTGTTTCATGCATGAGACTGTTTTTCAACAAGCTGCTCAAAATCTTCACATGACAGAGATGACAAATATTTAGTGTTGTAAGTAAACGCTCCTCGATATGCCTCTTTGTAACCTACCAATACTTGTGGAATGTGTTTCGTGAGTTTCTCCCAGTTCTCACCTTTCATCATCCAATAAATCTCTTTCAACATCATTATAAATAAAAATCAATCACATATGGATTTCACAAGCAACAACAATCGAAGAAGCTCCAAAACAAACAACCTTACTGCAAAAAATCGACGGTTGATGGTGTTGCAGATCAGTTTCACGGTGAACAGAGAAAAGAAAAGGAATCGCGGCCAAGCGTCGATGAGACTTCAATGGGTTTGACGGCGACAACTCTGCGATGAAAATCCAACAAAGAAGACGGTGTTGATGGTGACTGGGAGTTGTGTTGTCGATTTTAGAGTTTGGGATGACTTCTACGGCAAATGACAAATTGTAGACATTTTAGGGATTTTAATATCGGGGGGCATTTTGTCAATTTTTAAAACTCTTGTTGTAAAATTTTATTTTAATCCCCTGTACTTCAGGAAACCCCAAAAAACCCCCAATTTTTTCGAGTCAAGCTTGGCTTGAGAGCCTAATGAGCTGAGCTGAGCATGGCTCAAACTTGGCTTGTTCTGTCTCACGAACCAAGCTGAGCCGACTTGTTATCTGACGAGTCGAGCCGTTAACAAGCCGAACTCGAGCTGAGCTGAGCCGGCTCACGAGCGGCTCGGATCGTTAAGCACTCCTATATACTTTTTACTTCAATTAATATATGTTTTGATTTGTTGATTTTACTCCTAACATATTTTATATATTTTTCTTTGTTATTTAAAACTCAAAATCTGCCACTCATATCAGTCTCTTTCTCGATCTCGAACCTAAACAAAACAACAATAAACCTACCCATCTTCAAATGTAACCCTTCTCCTTCCCACAACCACCAAGCACCAACCTATCTTCACCTTTATCAAAATTTTGAATGTGTGGATGGGTGGGAGTGTTGCTAGGGTGCTTGTAGGGATGGTAAAGTGGCTAATCATGGGAGAAGATGGGGCTAGGTAAGGGTGGCTGTTCGTGTGAGAATGGCTTATCAGGGGTAGCTTTATGGTGGTTGTAGAGACTGTTTGGGTTATGTAGCAGACAATTAGGTTGAGGTAACCATGAGGCTTTAGGAGTGGGTGCAATATGTAGTCATAGATGTAGTGGCATGGGGTTGGCTATCAAGTGGGTTGAGAACCGTGGGCAAAGATTTGGGAGAGTGGGAAAAGGAAATAGGCTTTTATATTTAATCATTTTATTTATAAATGAATATCTAAAACAAAGGACAATTATTTTATATGCATTTTACCTCTTTGCCCTTCCTTTGTTTACTTCAACAGAGATTTTAAAACGTTTGGATAACTGTGAAGTTTAAGGTTATTCTTGATAGAGTAAACGACATTTTTCCACCCAAGGTTTGGCAAATCTACAAGTTCGCACCCCTAGTTTCATAAATTGTAGATTACCACACTTAAATTAATACCGTTACTTTTCTCTTAAAATAACACCCTCATCTCAAATTTCTCTCAAATAACTCCCAGAGGAGATCGCAGCCAAGCCAAAAATTTGACCTGATTCCGACACCATTAGACCTCCCTGACACCACCATTAGCATCCCCTTATCTTCCTCACCAAAAGCCCTAACATTTCCACTCGATTAAACCTCGACGAGATTCCAGAATTTGGCTAGAAAGGCATGACAAAACGTAAAAACCTAAAGGAGAGGCAGCGGCGATCGACAATGTTGAGGGTTTTGGTGGAAGGAAGCTGGTGATGCTATTGGTGGTGTTGGGGTGGTTTTTGGTGTTGGGACTTACCAGAATTTGGATGAAACATTGACTGAAACTAAGAGCAGCGGTCGGCGATTTGGGGGTTCAATTAGGCGAGGAGGTTAGGGGTTTTGATGTGGGGGTTGAGGGGATTGTAATGGTGGTGTTAGGAGGGGTCAACTACGCCGGGAACTTAATGGCCTGAAATCGCCGATGGGGTGAATTTGAGAAGTGAAGGGTTATTTTGAAATTTTTATCTTTGAAATGACCATTTTACCCTTTAACTGTTATATTAAATAGTTTTTTGTTAATTTAAGGGTGAGAATTTGTAATTTATGAAACTAGGGGTAGGAACTATAGATTTGCCAAAGCTTGTGTGGGAACATGTCATTTACTCTTTCCAATAACCAGAGGGGTTTAGATAATAGGATAAACCTTAGGGGGTTGTCACTATTATCCCTTAGGAAACTGTTTTTTTTTTAGGATGGGGGAAATTTTCTTTGATTGCCATAGGTTTCAAATAGTATTGACCTAACGGGTTTTTAAAATAACTTTAACCCCCATTTTGTCAATGTCTTTTAGTGAACAACCATTAATTAAGGAAATAACAATTTTACCATTTCCCAAGCTTAGCCCAACCCTCATTTAAGAAAATTGACACTTTTGGCCCCTGTTTGTCCCAAAATCGAAGCCCCACTACACAAGCATTGTTATTGTTGTAAATGCAAAAATCTACTTCTATGAAAATAGGGATTGATCTCATGAGGTTGAGGCCACTAGCGGTCTACTGCACCTACACATGCAAGAAAACAAGTGTGAAGCGGACGAAAAACATCGGGGTGGTGTTTGCCGTAGGCACTCCGACGCTCAAGTCAACAAGGCTGGTGGGACTGGGAGTCCTTGCAGTTGGGGTTTTGTGAAAGAGTGGAGCCTTTGGTTCTCTTAACTCAGTAGAAAAGGGAGTCCCAACATGCATAGGATATGGATCTTAGATGAATTAGGGTAGTGATTGATCTCTTTAGTAGAGTTCAGATAGTACTAGAGTACGTAGGCGACCCTAGGCTCCAGGTAGATCTTAAGTCTAGAAGGTGTTCTAAGATTAAAAGGCTTGGGCCCAAATAAGCTGGCAATGAGGCCTAAACGAACTGGGCCTTTGCTGATTGGGTTTGAATGGTGAGCAACTGGGAAGGCGTACTGAACGGGCCTCATCTACAAAACTCTGTTGTGGGCCCAATCAGAATTAGGCCTTAACTTCCAGCTTTGTTGAAGGTGTCTTCGTCTTTGGGCCTATTTAGGTCGAGGATATTTTTTGGCCCTAAAAGTTTGCCCCCTACTCTCTGAGTTAAAGAGTGCTTAGCTTAGAGAGTAGGCATTGCGTGGAGGTATATCTAGTCGACCTTCGCGATCGACCGGTTGAGCTTGTGAACGTGTTGCTTGTCTTTTCCCAAGAATGAATAGTATAGCTTTTGTTGTCGGTGATCCATTTGGTATGCCAGACCGGGCAAATGAAGGT